ATCCACCGGGAAGAACCCCATGGTCGCCCCATACTCGGGCGACATATTCGCCACCGTCGCCTGGTCCGCCAGAGACAGCTCCCTAGTCCCCTCCCCGTGCTAATCAGCATACACAGCTGAAACAAAAGATTGTCAACTCACAGTGGTATGGTCCATGAACAGATTGTTCGCGCGCATGTACGTCTCGATCTGCTTCAGCTTCGTGTCGTCCCTCCCTGTCACCCTCAGATACTGCAGCGTCACCGAATCCACAGGAAAGAACCCCATGGTCGCCCCGTACTCGGGCGACATATTCGCCACCGTCGCCCGGTCCGCCAGAGACAGCTCCCTCGTCCCCTCCCCGTAAAACTCCACGAATTTTCCCACCACGCCGTGCTTCCTCAGCATCTGCGTACACGTGAGGACGAGGTCCGTGGCGGTAACTCCCGGCTGGAGTTTCCCCGTGAGCTTAAAGCCGACGACTTGCGGGAGGACCATGCTCATGGCCTGCCCGAGCATGGCTGCTTCGGCCTCAATGCCCCCCACGCCCCAGCCTGCGACGCCGAGCCCGTCGATCATGGTGGTGTGCGAGTCGGTGCCGACGACGCTGTCGGGGTAGTGGAGACCGTTGATGTCCATCACCACCCGTGCGAGATACTCCAGATTCACCTGCACATGCACCACAGGAACAAGCGACAGTGCAATTTGGTGGAAATCCTGGAAAACTGAATAGCCTGCCCGAGCATGGCTGCTTCGGCCTCGATGCCTCCCACGCCCCAGCCGGCGACTCCGAGCCCGTCGATCATGGTGGTGTGGGAGTCGGTGCCGACGACGCTGTCGGGGTAGAGGAGACCGTTGATGTCCATCACCACCCGCGCGAGGTACTCCAGATTCACCTGCACGTGCAATGCAATGCAGCAACATACAACCGTGTTAGATTCAGTACGCTGGAAATCTAGGAGGATATGCCCATCACCACCCGCACCATATGCTCCAAATTCATCTGGGTTTCACATATAAAATATCAAGACCGGTTTAGCCTTCCACAATGTCATGTGAGCTATGAAGGGGACAATATTTAAGCACCAATTACTTGAAACTCGTGCCTCTGAGCAGCTCCTAAGCAACCACACAACTACAGAGAACTTACCTGGTGCATGATGCCAACCGCAGGTACTTCTACGAACCATCCTGAGAGCCCCTTCCAGAAACAGCCAGGGCACTCACCTGATGCACGATGGCAGCGCCAGGTCACTCAAGGAAACTCACCTGGTGCATGATGTCAGCAGCAGGTACTCAAACGAATAATCCTGAGAGCCTTCTCCAGAAAAGCCAGGGCACTCACCTGCGCCAAGTCCTCCAAAGACCATCCTGAGAGCTTTCCCCCAAAGACCGCCAGTACAGTCAACTGGTGCACGGAGTCAATTCCAGGTGATCCAACGAACCATCCTGAGAGTCCCCCAAGGGACTAGCAGGGCACTCAGCTGGTGCGTGATGCCAGCCCCAAGTCCTCCAAAGACCATCCTGAGAGCTTTCCCCCAAAGACTGCCAGTGCAGTTAACTGGTGCACGGAGTCAATTCCAGGTGATCCAAAAAAACATCCTGAAAGACCCCCCCCCCAGGGATCAGCAAGGCACTCAGCTGGTCCATGATGCCAGCGCCAGGCACTTCGAAGAACCCCACTGAAAGACCAGGCTAACCAAGAGAACGCACCTGCCTGGTGAACAATGCCAGCTCCAGGCGGCACGACGAGCATGTTGATGAAGGCCTTGAAGCCCCACTTGAGGACCTTGAAACCAGCAAACCCAGAAAATGCAGAAAACGCACCTTGGAACCCAGAGAACGCACCTGGTGCACGATGCCAGCGCCAGGGGGCACGACGAGCATGTTGCTGAAGGCCTTGGAGCCCCACTTGGGAAATGCGAACCTCTCCCCACTCATCACCACCCCCCCCCCCCCCCTCCCTTCACATACACCCAAAAGACCGCCAGAGCACTGACCTGGTGCACGATGCCAGCGCCAGGTGGCACGACGAGCATGTTGCTGAAGGCCTTGGAGCCCCACTTGAGGAACGCGAACCTCTCCCTGTTGCGCTCGAACTCGCGCTCCATGTTGAGGCTCAGCGCGTTGGACGCCCCCGCATAGTCCACCTGCACCGAGTGGTCGATCACCAGATCCACGGGAACCTGGTGGGGGAAAGGGGGGAGGAGGGGAAGGGGAAGAGGGGGGAGGGAAAGCGCGGGAAGGACAGAATTGACTCCAAGGCGCCTCAGAAGGCTCAGCGCGTTGGATGCCCCCCCGTAGTCCACCTGCACCGAGTGGCCGATCACCAGATCCACTGGCACCTGGTGGGGGGAGTGGGGAGAAGGGCGAGGTTTGCAAGGGGGGGGGGGGGGGTTGCGGGAGGGGAGGGAATAGAGGGACGGGTTGGACAGATTTGGAGGTGCCTCAGAAGGCTCACCGCGTTGAACGCCCCTACGTAATCCACTTGCACCGAGAGGACGATCATAAGATCCACAGGGACCTGCGGTAGGACAGAATTGAGACCTGAACGAGGGCTAAGGTTCTCAAAACGAGGGAAAGCTGGAGGCTGCAGAGTTGATGAAAGCTCCTGCATTGCAAACATGGTCGACAACCAGATCTACAGGCACCTATAATTGGATGGCATTGAGCCGGTAATTAACATTAGGCGCGTACCAGCAGCAAGTTCACAGATTCAAACGGTACAGCTTTAATGAAGTTCAACATGTGCGTGAAAAGCGATAGCATGAGCCGAATTGATGTTGAATCTTAGGTGAGTCAAAGCAACAGAAAACAGCATAATTCGTTTCAATCATTGAACGGCACCTGAGGGTTGATGGCATTCGGATCGCCGCCGGACTCCTTCATGGCGTCCCTCATCGCAGCAAGGTCCACAACAGCGGGAACACCAGTGAAATCCTGATCAAACAGTAAAGGCACAGAAATTCCCACACACAGTCGTCAGGCCTGATACACAAAGAAATGCAACACGCGACACGGCGCAATCTGACGACAAAATCGACTAAATTTAACGAAAAAGGGCGAACAACACGAGAGAAGCGAGTACGAACCTGCAGGATGACACGCGCAGGCTTGAACGGGATCTCGACTTGGTGCTGGGAGGTGTTGGCCCAGTCCAGGATCTTTTCGATATCCTTCTCCATGACCTGGAAATTATCGCAGTTGCGAATGGCGGACTCCAAAAGGTACCGAATGGAGATTGGCAGCTCATCTGCATGGCAAAGAAACAGACATCAGGCGGAACGAGTCATGAAAACGGAAGTTTGAATATATATTGGCGAAAGAAATAAGAAAAAACATAAGGGATCGTATCAGTAATTACCGATGCGAGGGTCGTTGAGCGCGGGGAGGCTGTAATACGAGCCAAAGGAGCCACCATCAGGGTTCGGCAGCTCGGTCAGCAAGCGCTGGAACGGGTTCGCCATGGCTCTGCAAAGGCGAAACGCTAACGTCAGAGTCGATCTGAGTTCAGGTCGGGGAAACTTCCAGCGGTGACGGACAATGGTAATGTACCTGATCGAATCGGAACGCTACGCAATTCACGCAAGGAAACTATCTCGCTCGGAAATACCAAACAAGAGAGCAAGAATATCACGCTGTGTAGCGTGGTAATTAGCGAGCAGCGATCCAAGCACTTCTGCAAGTCACAGGAATCTCTTCTGCCTTGCCTGAAGCAAAACAAGATTTCAGAAATCTGGAAATGCAGACTCTGGTTCTGGTTGGATTGCCTGGGCACTCTGCATGAGAATGGTGGTCATGAGCTGGAGTTCCCTGTGGTCCAATCGGGTGAGCTGGACGAGTGAGCGAAAGCAGGAAGCTGATGGGGTGGGTGGGACCACCGATCTGGATTGCACATCCGCGACCCAGCGGGGGTCCGGGGGACCACATTTTGGCGTCACCGTCTCGGGGATCCACGTGGATACGTACGAGGTGGCGGGTTCGGGGCAAAGAATCTGAAACTTGTGCGTGGCGAATGGAAACTGGAACGTCAGCGAACTTCGTTTTGAAGTGTGGTTTTCGTGGAGATGTCACGCGCCCGGGTAACGCTGGGCACGCGATATCCTCGATACACTTTCAGCCGATAAAAGTGAAACACTAGGATCCGCACCATGATTCATAATTTTCCAGTTCAATCACTTTTTCCAGAAACCCTGAACCCGAACAGCCGCCAAAACGTGTGGCCTGCAGCATCCCGCGGCTCGCCTAGCCAATCTTGTCAATCACCGCCGAGAGACTTGCGAGGGAGGGAGCTGCTCCGCGCGGGCTCCGCACGGTCAACGGATGTCGGGACTTGTCGGGAGAACTTGAAGTGCACGCGACCTCTCATCCACTTCCCCACTCCCCTTCAAACCCCGGAACCCTACAGCACCCTGCATCCACAGATTTTCCCCTCCCCCCACCCCTTCCCCATCCGCCACGCCACCTCACTACTTTCCTCCAAAATTCCACCTTCTGTGGAGCTGACGCTTTCTGGTCCCTCGACCTACCGATGACGGAATTCGTCTTCATAAATCCTGTCGGGCTGGGATTCTCTGCTTCTAGATAATCAGCAGAACTAGCACAAGCACCCAAGCATACCATGTCCGAACGATTGAACCATAAACTCTCAACCACCATGGGTTTGTTGTGATCGCTCATTCCTTGAGTAGTATATATTTGGCTGGATGATGGTCAGCAATGCAGTCATATCTCTTCCCTTCTCTCCCTATGATGGCTTGACGGCAGCTGCTCTTCTATCATTACGCCTCACACGGTTATGGCCTGATTAGTATCTATTCTTAAACTAAAATTCCCTCCTTACTAGTTGGTTGATTGGTCGGAAGGTTTAGAGGTTTAGGATGGCGCTCGTCGCAGTTGAAGTTGATCTCAACGGAGGGTATCCTAACGGAGTTTCCCTCAACGGAGTGCAAACTCGGCAGATTGCACAGCTTCATCGTCTAGCCGATCGCTCCGTCCCATTCCGGAATCCGACGCTCTTCATGCGTTCCGCGTGCCTTCGCATGCGTCTACTCATGGCGGCGAAGCGCGATAACGGGCACGCGTGGCAAAGTGAGTCCCGTTAGAAGCAATTCCCTTTTCCGAATCCGCTTTACGTGTTCGTAATTATAATATTCCACCCAGTGAAGCACTCCAGCAGCTTTATCTTCTTCACCCGTCTTAGTTGGATTTCAAACCTGCTTGTAAGGCTGAACCGTTCGTTTATTGACTCAATTCTATTTGCATTCTCTGTTGACGGTTTCCGTTTCAGTTAAACGCCAGCGTGCAGCTCAAGAGCAAGCTTCCAAGAAGCAGTGGATGCAACGGCTCAGAAATCTACGCCGGCTCGTATATAAATACCGCGCTTCACGCAAGTCGGTGCGTAATCTGTATGAGGACGTCCAAGCAGACATCGCTGGCAGCACTCGATATAAGGAGGACTTACTTGTACAGGGTTGTGACCTTATCGAGGATGCTGACAGGGAGAATCTGCTTAAGGAGAGCCTGGAAGCAGCAGTTCAAAGAGCCTTCGCAGGCACAGCTACCTTCGCAGACAGAGCCGTCGCAGAAACCTCGTCAAGCGTTACCTCTGGGCCTTGAATGCCAAAATCCTAGCACTTTCGAGGTGCTCGAGATGGGAACGGCTGGAAGTGGCCGATTTGCTCCTCGGAGTCCACTATTTTCCTAGCAGAAATAACCTTCGGAGGAAGGTTATGAAGATGCGTGAGGCAAGGATGGACTTTGAGAGAAGACTCTCAATTGATTTGATCCGAACGCCCCCAAGGCTCCACTGGACTGGAGGTGCATGCTTGAAGGCCCCTCAAGAGACCACACAGACAGCTCCTTGCTCCAGTCCACATTCCATATCGATTGTAGCTGCCATTTCTTTTGTCCAATTCTTGTATTGTTGGGCAGATTGTGAATACATGGTACCTAGATTTATTCCACCTGCTGGCAGGCATATCATGACAATAAGTAGCTTCGCAACAGCACAAGGTCCTTCATGCTAGCTACACTGTCTGCGCACTTCCACCAATGTAGACAAAGTATGAACCCCAGTGCAGGTTGCGATAATTATACCCGTCATCCTACTGTCATTTGGTAGGTGAATATACTGCAGCTCAACCCCAATATCCTGCTCATCGTTTGGCATCCTTTGCTGCCCGTTCCAATGCCTCCCTCGCTCTCTCCTTCACCTCCTCCTGTCAGAAGTTGGGTAAAAGGGCACAAACAGTTACATGATACTATTAATTGCAGGCACTCTTTATGATCGCTTTGAAACACACCAAGAGCTCTCCCAGTCAAAATCATGGCAAACCTGGTAAGCGGCTTGTGCGCTGCTTTCCTCTACCTGCTAAACAAACCCAGTAAGGGGCCATGTAGACGGATTATAGAAAATCAGCCCACGGGCCTAGCGAGGAGCTGGGGGGCAGGCCTGTGAAAATCATGCCTCTTTGTATTGGATCACACAGGCTCACCAGGAACAGTTTCAGTTGCTGCAGCTGCTCCGCTTGCCGACTCCCCACTTCACTCGGAATCATCCCCACAGCCGAACCCACTCACTCATACAAACCAACACCATCTCAGGCTTGACTTGCTCAACGACACACCGGCTGCAGAAAACACCTCTTTGTATCGAATCTCACATGCTCACCAGGGACAGTTTCAGATGCTGCTGCTGCTCGGCCTGCCGCCTCCCCACTTCATTTCAAATCTTCCCCACAGCTGATCCAACTTACTCTCACTTGCTCAAGACAAGAGTTGCTCAAGAACCACAGGACCACCTGGAACTGTTTCAGTTGCTGCTGCTGCCGCCACCCCATGTCACTCAAGATCCCCCAGCCGACCCCATTTGATCCTACCAGAAAGCAGCGCCTCTGGTTTGACTTGGTCGAGACACACCGGCTGTAGAAACCACCTCTGTATGAACCCTCACTTGCTCACCTGGAACTGCTTCAGTTGCTGCTGCTGCTCTGCCTGTCGCCTCCCCCACAGCCGACCCCGCCTGCTCCTACCTACCTACTGACAAATACCGTCTCTGGTTTGACTTGCAAGCGACACACCGGCTATAGGAAGCACCTCTGCATAAAACCCCACTTGCTCACCTGAAACTGCTTCAGCTGCTGCTGCTGCTCAGCTTGCCGCCTCCCCACTTCACTTCTCCCCCACAGCTGGCCCCAAAAGCCCGACTGGGGCTGTGGGAAACGCACCTTGGTATCAAAATTCACATGCTCACCTGGAATTGTTTCAGTTGCTGCTGCTGCTGTGCCGCCTGCCATCTCCCAACTTCTGAGTCTGATTGACTTGCTCTAGACACACCAGCTCACCTGAAACTGTTTCAGCTGCTGCTGCTGCTCCGCCTGCCGCCTCCACACCTCACTCAAAATCTCCCCCACAGCCGACCCCACCCGCTCATACAAAAACCAATCCCACCTCTGGTTTCACTTGCTCGAGACACACCGGCTCACCTGGAACTGCTTCAGCTGCTGCTGCTCCGCCTGCCATCTCCCCACTCCTGAATCTCACTCCTACCAACCAATACCACCTCTGGTTTCACTTGCTCGAGACACATCGGCTCACCTGGAACTGCTTCAGCTGCTGCTGCTGCTCCGCCTGCCGCCTCCCCACCTCACTCAAAATCTCCCCCACAGCCGACCCCACCCGCTCATACAAAAACCAATACCACCTCTGGTTTCACTTGCTCGAGACACACCGGCTCACCTGGAACTGCTTCAGTTGCTGCTGCTGCTCCGCCTGCCATCTCCCCACTTCTGAATCTCACTCCTACCAACCAATGCCTCCTCTGATTGACTTGGTCGAGACACATCGGCTCACCTGGAACTGTTTCAGCTGCTGCTGCTGCTCCGCCTGCCATCTCGACACTTCTGAATCTCACTCCTACCAACCAATGCCTCCTCTGATTGACTTGGTCGAGACACATCGGCTCACCTGGAACTGCTTCAGCTGCTGCTGCAGCTCCGCCTGCCGCCTCCCCACTTCACTCAGAATCTCCCCCACAGCAGACCCCACGCGCTCTGATACCACCTCTGCTACAGCTTTGCCGAGAAAGAAGGCATCAAGCACCTCTTTGCTGCGCTCATCACTTCCTGGGGAGTGAGGTAAGAGGGGGGAGGGGTAGAGGGGTTGAAAAACACCTCACTCAGAATCTCCCCCACAGCCGACCCCACCCGCTCTGATACCACCTCTGCTACGGCCTTGCCAAGAAAGAAGGCATCAAGAACCTCTTTGCTGCGCTCATCACTTCCTGGGGAGTGATGGACAGGGGCGGGTGGGGGTTGAGGGGTTGAAAAACACCGCTCTCAGAATCTCCTTGCTGCGCTCATCACTTCCTGGGGAGTGAGGTACGAGGGGGGGAGGGGCGGGTAGAGGGGAGGAAAAACACCTCTGCTACGGCCTTGCTGAGAAAGAAGGCATCAAGAACCTCCTTGCTGCGCTCATCACTTCCTGGGGGGTGATGGAAAGGGGCGGGTGGGGGTTGAGGGTTGAGGGGGAGGCGGCGGGGGTGAGGGAGTGGGGGGGAAAGCGCGTGAGGGAGAGGGGGGGAGAAGGGGGTGAGGAAGTAGGGGGGGAAGGGGGGGATATGGAGGAGTAATCTTCCAGCACATATTTGCTGCGCTCATCACTTCCTGGGGAGAGATAAATACAGGTGGGCGGGCGTGGGGGGTTGAGGGGGAGGCGGGAAAGGGGGATGGGGGACTAGATGGAGGAGAGAGCGTCAAGAACCACTTTGCTGCGCTCATCACTTCCTGGGGAGTGATGGAAAGGGGCGGGTGGGGGGAGGCGGTAGGGGAAGGGGAAGAGTATATGGAGCAGTTTGCAGCAAGGTAGGAATCTTCCAGCACCACCTTGCTGCGCTCATCACTTCCTGGGGAGCGATGGATAGGGGCGGGTGGGGGGAGGCAAGGGGAAGAGTATATGGATAGGGGCGGGTAGGGGAAGGGGAAGAGTATATGGAGCAGAGTGCAGCAAGGTAGAAATCTTCCAGCACCACTTTGCTGCGCTCATCACTTCCTGGGGAGTGATGGATAGAGGGTGGGTGAGGGGAGGCGGTAGGGGAAGGGGAAGAGTTTATGGGGCAGAAATCTTATGAGTGCAGCAAGGTAGGAATCTTCCAGCACCACTTTGCTGCGCTCATCACTTCCTGGGGAGTGATGGATAGAGGGTGGGTGAGGGGAGGCGGTAGGGGAAGGGGAAGAGTTTATGGGGCAGAAATCTTATGAGTGCAGCAAGGTAGGAATCTTCCAGCACCACTTTGTTGCACTCATCACTTCCTGGGGAGTGATGGATAGAGGGTGGGTGAGGGGAGGCGGTAGGGGAAGGGGAAGAGTTTATGGGGCAGAAATCTTATGAGTGCAGCAAGGTAGGAATCTTCCAGCACCACTTTGTTGCACTCAGCTCATCACCGGATGGATGGTTGTGCTGGGGAGTGATGGAAAGGGGGTGCGTCGGGGGGTGAATGGGAGTGTGGACAGAGGTGAATGGAGGGGAAAGAAGGCCTCAAGCACCTCCTTGCTTCACTCATCACCGGATGGTTGGTTGTGCTGGGAAGAAGAATGGAGGGGGTGAGGGAGGGGAGGTGGGGGGAGGAGGGTGGCGGGGACAGAGGTGAATGGAGGGGAAAGAAGGCCTCAAGCACCTCCTTGCTTCACTCATCACCGGATGGTTGGTTGTGCTGGGAAGAAGAATGGAGGGGGCAGCTCCCAAAGAGGGGAGAGAGTTAAGGGGGGAGAGAGGAGAGTCGAGGAGAGGAGGAGGGGAGGGTGGCTGAGGTAAATGGAGGAGAAAGCGTCAAGCACCACTTTGCTGCGCTCATCGCCGGATGGTTTTGCAGGGGAGTGATGGATAAGGGGGGTTGAGGGTGGGGGAAACGGAAAGGTGTCCACCTTCTGTTTCTGCTTCTGCTTCTGCTGCTGCTTCTGCTTCTGCTTCTGCTGCTGCTTCTGCTTCTGCTTCTGTTTCTGCTTCTGCTTCTGCTGCTGCTTCTGCTTCTGCTTCTGATTCTGCTACTGCTACTCAATCATCTGTTCAACTCTGTTAACTTACATACCTTGCCGCTGCTGGTCCTGGGACGCTGTCACTTGAATTTGACGCCGACGGAGTGGAATCGCCAAGCGAGATGCCTGAACGGCAAGTAAAAGAAAACAGTGGGTAATGTCACGTAATTAAGAGCCACAAACGATTTCGGAATGTCACAGATTTTAAAGCCCGCGTCTCATAATTCTTGACAGCCTAATCGTTGTGTGAATCATGTTGCGTCGTAGTCTCCCAAGCCGGACCTTCCTGCGACGTCCTGCGACGTAGCTTCCTACCTTCTACCCTGTACGTACCTGTGCGGGCCGCAGCGATTGCAGCGAGCCGCGATTTAGGCTTCCTGGGACGTTCGAAGTCACGGCAGCTAATTGTGACGCGATCGCCATAGCTTCGGTCACCTGGGTCACGTGAACGGTGCTATACTATAGTACGCGTGAAGCCGAAAGGAACGCTAATGATCCCTTCCTGTCACGCGGCCCTATCAGACGGCGCAAACATGTGGTGAACGATCAATTACGTGGAAGAATGAACTCCTCTAATGCAAATTATATTACCGCAGGCTTGAGATGACCTCAAGTTAGCATGGTTTCGCTACAACCTAAAACTTTCCAATAATCATGTTACGCGTCCTATGTGACATGAATCTCAAGTGAAATGACATGTAAGGAATCTTTGTTTGGTTTGCAATATAAGCTCAAATTATCAGGATGAACAGCAGTAAAACTTGCATGTACATGTATTGATCACATTGACAGTGTGAGTAGTATAGTGACATCAAGTGCTGCTACGCCCCATAGCTTATTCAACAACCCCTTTATTTCCTTCCCAACAACTTCTCACAACCTGATCAACCCGTATTAAAATCTCTGGCCAGGCCAACCATTCTCCGTATAAACCCCGACCTCAGAACTTATGCAAAAGCTTGTGGAAGCCATCTTCCTTATTGGAGCAGCAGTGTAGAAGCAGCAATAGAGGGGAAAAGGGAGGTAACTGGTATGGGCATGTGGTGCCAAAAGGGGAGAGGAGGTCTAGGGTGAACGGCAGAGCGCAGGTGAAGGGTGAACGACGAAAAGCAGGTGAAAGGTGAATTGTGGAAAGCAGGTGAAAGGTGAATTGTGGAAAGCAGGTGAAGGGTGAAGGAGGTGTAGTCCGAAGGGCAGAGAAGAGACAAAGAGTATAAGGGAGAGGAAGTATAAGAGTATAAGGGGCATCCATAAAAGTATGTGTCAAGCCGTCAAGTGTCTTGGTAGCAGGAGCAGGAAGCAGTTGGTAATAAGAGAATTGACTCAGCTGGGCAAAGACGAGGCAAAGAGTATAAGTGGGAGAGGAAGTATAAGAGTATAAGGGCCATCCATAAAAGTATGTGTCAAGCCCTTGATGTCTTCGTAGCAGGAGCAAGAAGCAGAGGGGAGAGCAGGTTCAGACACCGTATAACAATGTCTCTCAACCCCTCTCAACCCCGCCGAAGTGTAATTGGGCCCTCAACCTTGTTAGAGGAGCCGCAATGGCGTGTATGTGAGGGGCTGCGTGGCTGGGTGGGTGTTGGAGAGGGAAATGCAGGCAGTGGCATCAAGTCCTCAGCGTCTCCGCAGCAGGGACAGGAAGCAGCGGGGAGAGCAGGATGCAGGGGTAAAGTCATGCCCTCAGCGACTTCGCGGCAGGAGCAGGAAGCTGCGGAGAAAGCAGGTTCGGGCACCGACTGGCAACGTCCCTCAACCCTTGCGTTGTGGGCGCATCAAGCCCGCAGAGACTTTACAGCAGGGGCAGGAAGCAGCGGGGAGAGCAGGTTCGGGCACCGGGTGGCAATGTCTCTCATCCGAACCGCCCTCTGATTCAGCCACGGGTGCTCCAGAACCTCGAACGAGCTCAGCCGTTGATTCGGGTCCACCTGGAGCATCTTACGGACGAGATCCTTCGCCGCCCACGAAACCCTTCTCCAGACTGGGTCGCCTAGATCCAAGCAGCCTGATTGGTCGAAAACCGGAATGAGCCCCGTTAGAATCACGCACAGCGTCACTCCTAAGCTCCAAACATCGGCCTTACACCCATAATACCGAAAATGTTCTTTTCCTCCTCCTATTTCCCCTTCTCCACCTCCCGTTACATCCTTATGCGCACCATCCGTCACGCCACTTCTCCTCCCTCCACCTCCTCCCTCTCCACCTCTCCCCTCTCCTGAGCCCCGTCCCGAACCGCGCTGCTTCATTTCAGGAGCCATGTACATGCGCGTGCCCGCTCCCCGCCCGTGCTTCTGCCCCGACATCCCTCCATCCACGGTCGTCGACAGCGCGAAATCCGCCAGCTTCACTCCGACAATCCCGCGCCCCGCGCCCACGTGGCCTAGCCGATGCGCCAAGGCCTGCTGGATCTTTAGCCTCCCGAAGCGCGAGAACACGGACGGGCGAACCGGGCTTGCTTTGGGAGTTGCTGCGGGGGAATGTGGAGGCGGTGATTGGATGTCAAAACGCGCCAGATTCTGCGGAACGACGTTCGGGGTTGTATCGGCGCAGGTTTGCTCCGTTACAAGGCTCGTACTCGATAAGAGTGCTGCGATATTCGTCCTGTTCCTCAGAGCCGAGTCCATGATCGCACTCTTTTCCTGCTCGCCACGAAGGCCCCCTTTTCGTAGCAGCGCATTTTCTCTCGCCTCTGGTGTGAGAAAGCTGAGAGTCGACGGGCACAAGTCCAGAAGCTGCTGCTGCTGCTGCTGCTGCTGATGCTGCTGCTGTTGCTGATGCTGATGCTGATGCTGAAAATCATCCAGCCTTTTGCTTCCCAAATCTTCTGGTTCCCCCTGCGTTGGCCGCACCAACAACACGTTCTCCGGCTTGATATCGCGATGCACGACGCCGTTTGCGTGGCAGAAAGCGACAGCGGATGCGAGCTGCCGCAGCACTGTAGCAGCCAGCGGCTCCGGCAGCGGTCCGTTCTCGCAAATGTCTGTGCACAAATCCCCGCCCTGTACGAGTTCCATTATAATATGGACTTCTGTCGCATCGACGAAGAAGTCTATAAGGCGTACGACGTTCGGGTGCCCGCCGAGGGTTTGTAGCGCGCGCATCTCCGCGTCTATATCGAGTACGGCCACGGAGGATTTGGTTCGTCGCGTGGACGGGGAGAAGGACTTGCATGCGACGCGGTGCGACGTGCGGATGTCCTCGCACTCCCATACGTCGCCCTGCGACCCGGTCCCGATCTTTCGCAGGCGAAGGTAGCGACCGCATATGAGTCGCCCGGCGGCAGGAGGCGAATGCTCTGGCCCGTCGACGTAGCTCACCATTTTCAGAGACGAACAGATTATGCGTGCTCGTCGGGTGAGTACTCTGGCAAAGGACTCCGACGAGTATGCGTTTCTCTTTGTAATCAGGAAAACAGGACACCAGAATTTTGGAAAACAAGATGCTTATCAACCTCGACGAGGCCAGCTTGCCCTAGAGACACGCTCGAAACAGGTAACCTCCAGCCTGAGTCTGAGATACTTCAGAGAAAACTAGCTGCGGCACCCGTCAGCACGGTAGCTGCGGTAATGGATGGACACAAGCAGCGCAGCGACGAAAACCACGCTGGCTGGAGTCAAAGACCCAAGCAGCAGGGCGAAGAAAACGGAGCCAGCATTGGTCGAACGAAGAATTTGGTGCTCCGCAACTGGCGGAACAACAATTCTGTGCAACCCGAAGCAGAAACTTGACTATCGCAGAGTGATGTGAAGCAGTGCGTCTCACCACATCAAGTGATTACTGGTTTGGGTGTGGTGTGTGGTGATAATGGGATGGTGTAGCAGCCTTGAGACTGGTTTTAGCCTGCGGATTGAAGGTTGTAAAATTGCAGCGGGACGATGGACGGATGAGATGTGCAGTAAACGAGACGCGAGACGCGATTTCACCTCGAGTTTGTCCGTGCGGCTTGCTCTGGTGTGGGGTGGTGAGTCAAATGCCATGCAGCACTCGTGAGGAGGGCGTCCAGGCCGGGCGGCGCGGCAATTATGAGAAACACATGCTGATGTGATGTGGCTGGTCTGGACCAGACGGGCTTGGCAAGTTCCAAACCAGCCCAGCCCCAGCCAGTCAACGTGGCAAATGGCCTGGTCGTCACAGTTGCGCCGCGGTGAATTGGCTTGTCCATGCTTGGGGGATATATTTGGTATGGCGGGTGCCCTTCCCCGCGAGTGGACTAACGAAAATGTTCATCCCCGTGTGATTGTAAAGAGCAATAAGAACTTCGATACAGAGCACCGTAACCTCACACAAACACCACATTTTATCAGATTGTTTTCTTCCATTGAGAATTTGGTCATAACCAGTAAGATTATTCTGATCATAACCAATGACGTTATTCAAACACTGGCGATGCACTCAGAAGCGCGTACGCGAAAGCGAACGACGCCACGTTACGTGGTTGACGTGGCAGCGTTAGCACGCTTTCGAGAGCCGTCAGACACGCATTGCGATTACAAACCGCACGAAATGTGCGTCTCGTCACCGACACTTTGTCATCCGGTTACCAATCTGCACACCATACCTGCCAAAATGGTATTTCTATCGGCAAGAGACATCTTCGCTAAGATGTCGTATAGGTTCGCAGATTCTGCTTCGTAAGGCAGGAAGGAACTCACGAAATCGCAGCCGCTCCAGGACAAACACATCACAAATGGCAATGGCGGCGCGTTCCGTCTTCTCGTAAAAGATGGGGCGGGCAGCACCCCATTGCGAAGATAATGCGCCAGCTTGCATCTCGTGCAGTTCGTGAGCCTCGCGGACGGGCAGACTGCACGGTACATACGAGATTCTGCGAAACCAAAAGTCTCGTAGCATGGTATAACTTTCTCTCTTGCTGGTAACCTGGAGCTGGTAACTTCTAAGGATCTCCTCCTCCTCCCTCTACTTCTGGCTGGCCTGGTTCTTCATACGATCGTCTCTTTCTTTTGCGCTAGCAGCAGCAATGAGCAAAGTAGACAAGAGCAAGGGATCTCGTCGCAAGCGTTCATGGGAGAGCCTTGCACCAGGAAGCGTCTTCTTGGAAGGTCATAGCTTTCGTGACAAAGCAAGCTAACTGACATGCAAGCTCATAAATTGAGTATTGAGCTTAGTGTGAAAAAATATATGAAATGGGCGCAATGTCCTCGAATCCACGGGCCATCGTTCTGATCGCGTGCTGGTTTTGCCTTCATGCGACGGTCCGAATTAGTTCTTTTGGCGAGGCAAAACATCTTCCCTCGAGATCCACGGCCTTCTCTATTAACGGAATCGAATCTTGCGGGAGCCGCGCGAAGTACAACGGTTCTGTGGTAACCAGGCGGCTCGTCAGAGGGCTCAGATTGAACGGATTGGAGCTGTTCTCGGAGATTTTAAATGATACGGGTGCGATTCAAGTAACCCTAAAACTTCCTGCGAGATATCCGACGCCGACGCTTCCTGTCCAATGCCGCGATGCCACCGTTTTCGCCATTCAGATCCTTACAATTCCTCGTCCCCATTCTCACGTCTCCGAGTCGCACGCCTAGAGTCCAGGCCTAGCTCGCGGGATTTCCATGATCCTTACTCTCGTGCCGCCATGCGGCAACGGTCTCCGCCGCTCGGGATTCTGAAATTACTCTCGTCCTCGGCTCCTTATCGGGTATTTCTGAGAATTCTCAAAAATACCCTGCGACGTTGAGAACTCTCAAAATTACCCTCGTCCTCCGTCCTCAGCTCCGGAACTTCTTCCCAAATACTCCGTCATTCCTTTCCTTCTGTCATCCGTATCCGGTTAATCCGATGCGCGATTTGCGACCTGCCTCGCGGGTGTCCTCTCTTGTCTTCCTCCCCCCACCCTTACCTTCAGGCATTCTCCTGGAACTTCCGTCCTTCCTCTCTTGCCGCGACGCCACCGTGTTCGCCCCAACCGACGCCGCGATTCGCGCCTTGCCTCGCGCGGTGGCGCAACAGCTAGGGAGCGACGTGCAGCTTCTGCGAAACGTGGCTCTTCTAAACTTCGTTACGGGCAAGAAACGGCTGGCGAAGCTCGTCTCCCAACGGAGAGGCCACCAGGTAACTAGAAATTTCTTTTGGCTGACGGGTACTGAATGGTTCTAACTTTGGGTTGCTGAGGGACGGATGGGCGTAGCTCTGCTGCTGGAGGTGTGTTTCAACGCCTTCAAAACCCTCTCCACCCCTCTCCACCCTTCTCTCCCCGAGTGAGTCCCCCCTTCCCAATCCCCCCCCCCCCCGCCCACCAATCACCCAGTACATCACTCTTGCTTTCAACGGCACTCAGCGGCTAAAGAAGGCGTCTTTTAAAGGGGATTGGAGTGTTAGAGTGTACACTGATAAAGGGCCGAAGGTGACTGTAACGAGGGGGAACGTTGTGATGCTGAGATCGGTGGCTGTGCATGGAGTGAACGACGTGATAAGACCAAAGGTGCTTGTAACGAAGGTGAGTGTATCGGGACGATGAGATGTATGTGACTGTGGCGAGGAGTGATACTGTAGCTGTACAGGGAGTTAGAAGGCGACGAGCAAAGGTGTTTGCAACAAGGGTGTCTGTAAAGAGGAGTTTTGCAGTAGCCAAGAGACTAAAGAAATTCTAGCACAAGTTGGTGAAAGAGTGTAGTTCAGGACGTGTAGCTGATCTTGGGTAATCTCTCAAGTGTAGTCGGTCAGTTGCAAGATTTCATGTTGAAGAAACCTACTGGTACGTTTCGCTGTGCATAATGCTGTGTCAGGACAACCTAAAGCATCACAGGCAGCATTCAGTGTATTATGAACACAGAATTGCATTGCATACAAACGGAGGAAGCACACAACTCGCCTATACCCTCCACCACCACCATCCTCATGTCGCAATTTATTACCACGCCCCCGCAAAGAAAAGCCATAGAGTCAGCTTCGCAAAATACAGCTACCCTGCAGAAGAACCGCAGCCAATCCCTTCGTTGCTCGTATCGTATCCAAACATCCCCTCCTTCTTCTTGGCGCTTCAGCAATAGTATCCTCCTGTTTGATCCAAATCCTCTTCTCCATACCTCAGATCCAAGCACTCCTCCAGCGACAGCAAGGTGCCTCACAATCAGACTCCTCATGGCTTACGTGTCATAATCCAGGTCCTCCCCTCCATTGCTCAGATCCAAACCAAACACTGCTTCCCTTCAGGCAACTCGAACTTCCATCTTCCTCATCTCCGTCCTCCCCTTTGCTTACTTGTCATAATCCATGTCCTCCTCCCCATTGCTCAGATCCAAACACTCCTTCAGCGACAGCTTCTTTTTTGCCCCGGTCAGCTTGCCGCCCGGAATGATCACCTTGTCGATGCCGTGGACAGCGGAGATCGTCAGCAGAACCGAGTCCGGCTTCGTTATAGTCACGTTCTTGCCGCCCTCTGCGTGCAGCTTGACCGGCTTGACTTTCGTTTCTGTGGCTTTGAATAGCCCTGCCTCTCCGTTCTTAGAGGGAGTTCGCCACTGGGAGGGGACAGAGGGGAGGAGGGGGGAGGAGAGGGGATGAGAGGGAAAGCCACAGACAGGTTGACTCGCTTGACCAGCTTGACCGGCTTGACCTTCATATCTGTGGCTTTGAAAAGTCCTGCCTCTCCGTTCTTAGAGGGAGTTCGCCACTGGGAGGGGACAGAGGGGAGGAGGGGGGAGGAGAGGGGATGAGAGGGAAAGCCACAGACAGGTTGACTCGCTTGACCAGCTTGACCGGCTTGACCTTCATATCTGTGGCTTTGAAAAGCCCTGCCTCTCCGTTCTTAGAGGGAGTTCGCCACTGGGAGGGGACAGAGGGGAGGAGGGGGGAGGAGGGGGGAGGAGAGGGGATGAGAGGGAAAGCCACAGACAGGTTGACTCGCTTGACCAGCTTGACCGGCTTGACCTTCATATCTGTGGCTTTGAAAAGCCCTGCCTCTCCGTTCTTAGAGGGAGTTCGCCAATGGGAGGGGAGAGGGAGGGGAAGGAGGAGAGGGATGAGGACGGGAGTACTGGCATCCTTCCTGCCCTTAACGATGTGCAGCACGTGATATGATGCGGGTGTTTTTGAGACGTCTCTAAAACACCCTCAGTTCACAAGAAATCGAGGATGGGGGTAGTACTGGCAGGCATCCTTCCTGCCTTAACGATGTGCGGCATCATGATATCCCTCATCACTGCCTTGCTCAGCCCCTTGGAGAAGCTTCCTATCCCGCTCACCTCGTGCTCCCTCTGCATGCGAACGAGCATAGCGGCATCCTTCCTGCCCTTCACAATGTGCAGCATCGTGAGGTCCCGCATCACCGCCTTGCTCAGCCCCTTGGTCACGCTCTCGGGGAGCTGGGAGCTTGTAGCAAGTTAGCAGCACACATTGCAATGCGGAGAAGCTTCCTATCGCGCTCACCTCGTGCTCCCTCTGCATGCGAACGAGGGTAGCAGCCGTCTTCCTGCCCTTCACAATGTGCAGCATCGTGAGGTCCCGCATCGCCACCTTGCTGCCTTGCCGCCTCGCTAGCATACAGAGTACCACGAAGCACCACGCACCTCGTGTTCCCTCTGCATGCGAATGAGAGTAGCGGCGGTCTTCCTCCCCTTCACAATGTGCAGCATCGTGATATCCCGCATCGCCGCCTTGCTCAGCCCCTTGGTCACGCTCGAAGAAAGCTTCGCAAATGCCTCGTCCGTGGGCGCGAGGACGGTGAGGCGGTAGTAACTCATTGCTTCTGGAAGCTCCTTGGCGATTCCTGGGACAAGGGGATGTAAGTGGGGAAAGGAAGGGGAGGAGGGAAGGACGAGCGGGGGGCGGAGGTCTCGTCGGTGGGTGCGAGGACGGTGAGGCAGTAGTAGCTCATTGCTTCTGGAAGCTCCTTAGCAATTCCTGGAGGCATTAGGGGGAACGGGCGAGGAGGGGATGGCAGCAGAGCACTTAGCGAAGGCCTCGTGGGTGGGCGCGAGGACGGTGGGGCGGTAGTAGCTCATTGCTTCTGGAAGCTCCTTTGCGATTCTTGATGAGAGAGAGAGAGAGAGAGAGAGAGAGAGAGAGAGAGAGAGAGAGAGAGAGAGAGAGAGAGAGAGAGAGAGAGAGAGAGAGAGAGAGAGGATAAAGAAGGATCAATCAAGGGAAGCGCAGGGAGCTTGGGGAATGAGGACTCGTGGGTGGGCGCGAGGACGGTGAGGCGGTAGTAACTCATTGATTCTGGAAGCTCCTGGAGGCATTAGGGGGGAACGGGCGAGGAGGGGATGGCAGCAGAGCACTTAGCGAAGGCCTCGTGGGTGGGCGCGAGGACGGTGGGGCGGTAGTAGCTCATTGCTGCAGGGAGCTCCTTTGCGATTCCTGGGGGAGGATGGAGAGGATGGGGGAAGTATGCAGGGGGGAGGACGAGCAGGGAGCTTGGCTAAGGCGTTGTCTGTTGGCGCGAGGACGGTGAGGCAGTGGTAACACATTGCTTCTGGACGCTTCTCGGCGATGCCTGGGGGAGGATGGATGGAGGGGATGGGGGAAGTATGTAGGGGGAAGGACGAGCAGGGAGCTTAGCAAAGGCCTCGTCCGTGGGCGCGAGGACGGTGAGGCGGTACTAACTCATTGGTGCAAGGAGCTCCTTTGCGATACCTGGAGGCAAATCGGGGCAAAGAGAGCGAGAGGGGGCAGAGAGAGCGGGAAGAGCAGCGTGAGTTGGAAAAGGCCTTGTGGTGGTCGCGAGAACAATGAGGCGGTATTAATTCTATAACGGTGAGGCGTGAGAACGGTGAGGCGCTGTTAAAGGTACGCTCTATAACGAGTACAATTCGCAGCAGTAGTACTTGTGGATTGGAAAAGCGACACCGCAGTGTTGTAACCTTCCGTCTTCATCTTCGCTATAAAGAACTGAGGAGCCTCAATAGGAGTACCGTTAATTTAACCTTGTATAATTTTCAAGAGTACCTGTCGATTCGAAAAGCGACAGCGCAGTGTTGTAGCCCTTCTTCTTCATCTCCGCTATAAGCTTCTTCGCGCCGGTCTTCCCATCGTACTGGCGAGAGCTGCCATCATCGTCCGCGGCGCACAGCTCCGGAAGAAGCGCCGCGAGAAGCGCAAGCAGGACCAGCGACAATCCCCAGGGAGAAAGGCGACGCGCCATGGCGGATAAACGGATAGCCGGCTCGTAACGCGAAGGCGGTTCTGCTGCTGGAGTGTTTTGATGATTGGCTTGAACGAACTAGTAGAAGCGAGTGCAGAGTATTGCCGAGGTGGAAATAGGAAACGCTAAGTTCAAGAAGCGAGTGCAGAGGGGGAAAGACGACTCTTTACAGAGTATTGCCGAGGAAACGCTCAATTCAAGAAACACCTCTTGCTGTTACATCCGGCTGAAGCACAGCGAGCTTGCGGAGCCTGTGTTGAATGTTTAGTTTAGCTTAGCTTGTCTGACGAGCACAGCGCGGACCTGTGCTGTTACCCCCGGCTGCAGCACAGCGAGCTAGCGGAACCTGTGTTGGGTCTTAGGTTATCTTGTCCGATCGTCTCGCGTCTGTTCCTGCTTTGTTGCTATGTTGCTATGGTGCCGGGCTCACTTGGACGCTATTCCCTGCTAAATGCAAAGCGCGCAGCGGTGGATGAACCAGGAAAATCATCAAGTCATAGCGACTGGCTCAAACTGGAGGGAGGTAGGTATGCCGGAGCCTGGAATTGTTGGCGCAGTGAGTGCGGGACAAATTTCTCCTGGCTTGGAATTGATGCCAATTTGTTGGTGACGCGGGGAGGCTGGAATGACTGTTTGTGGTCGGTAGATCGACCGTTCGGATGGGCTTTGCACCTTGGATGGACGAACGAGATTGGAGGCGATGGTTGAGAAGGGCGGCAGTTCAGGCAGGGCGGTGCGGCGATGTGGGGTGCGCCGCCGTCGCTTCGCCATTGGGTTTGGCAACACACGGCGGTCGATACACACCACAAGACAAAATATCCTCTACAGACACAAAGTAAAACAGCTGCACCATGAACACCTCCAACTAAAAGAATGACACCCAGCAAATGCATCCAGCAAAACTGCTTCATCTATGTGATACATAATCTACCATTTCTCACTCCAAGGCCTGAGGTCCACCTCAAACGTCCAGCCACTCCTCTTCTGCATATGCAACGACCAATACAGCTCCGCCACATCATCAGGCTGCACCAACCCATCCACCTCCTTCTCCTTTACCATCTCCTGAAAATTCTCCCTAATCCACAGAGTGTCAACGGCCCCGTCAATCACCACATGGGAAACGTGTATTCCTTGGGGACCTAATTCTTTAGCTAAGCATTGAGCCAGAGCTCTTAGCGCGTGCTTAGCTCCAGGAAAGGCAGAAAACCCTGCAGCACCGCGAACGCTTGCAGTTGCGCCAGTGAGAATGATAGTGCCGCAGTTTCTGGGAAGCATCCTTCGCGCAGCCTCGCGAGACGTGAGGAGGCCTGCCAGGCATGCCATCTCCCAAACCTGGAGGAACAAAACGGTGCGAAGGGGTTCATAGTGGTTCAGAGCACAGACAGTCAGGTACGGATTGTCAGGCTGCTGTTCTCCAAGATGTTGACCGCACGAAACTGAACTTACACTCGCACAGATGTAAAGAAAGAAAGAAAGAAAAAACATAAAAAAACGCAAATAGGACCTTCCTCTTTCTTCACATACGCTGGTAATACACCATGGAATAAACCTCAAAGGTTGTGTCAACTGACTATGGCTTGTACACTTGAAGTGACTTTTGAGTGACCTCAAAAGTCACCTTCTTGTAAACCTCGAAGGTTGTGTCAACTGACGACTATGGCTTGTACACTTGAAGTGGGGAACCTAGTTTGACATCTCATGCATTTGACAAACCTAGTTTTGAGGCGCCTCAAAACTAGAACCATCACATGCATTGGACGAACCTTGAAGCAGACTCTGAAAGTTGTGTGTCGACCGCATCAAATTTGATCAAATTTGCCATTCACTCCAATGCTGAACACCATCACATGGATCAAACACACTTGTCATCAGACAGCAATTCATCCGAATCAGAGGTCCCTCACGAGACCTCGTACTTCTTTGTTTTTCGCACTGCTAAGCGTCAGCGGGAGGAATCTGAAAATTCTCATTGGCTGGAAAACGAAAAGGCTTGAGTTCACTCCGATACCATACCAGGCCTCCAAAGCCCACCTGTCCACTATTGACAGCTCCAACCAGAACAAACTTGAACAATTTTGCTATGTACTCCAATGTTGAACACCATCACATGGATCAAACACACCCGCCTTTTCAAGTATACTGACGATACACCTTGAAGTCGACTCACGGCGTTGTGTCCACCACATCCAACTTGACATTCGCTCCAATGTTGAGAACCACCACATGGATCGGATTAGACCTAGCTCGGCAGGCTTGACATCTCCACCTCTCGCTCTTCCCCCTTCTACACCTGACACACCTTGAAGGAAACTCACGGCGTTGTGTCCACCACATCCAACTTGACATTCGCTCCAATGTTGAGAACCACCACATGGAATGGATGGCACCTAGCTCTTGGTGCAGTGGCACCTAGCTCTTTCTACCCCTCTCTCCCCACGCACACCTGACACACCTTGAAGTTGTGTCGACCACATCGAACTTGACACTCGCCCTAATGTTGAAAACCATCACATGGATTCGATTGGGCCTAGCTTGGCAGAATTGGCATCTCTCCACCTCTCCCTCTCCCCATACATTCACACGACACACCTCGAAGTAAACCCTTGAAGTTGTGTCGACCACATGAAACTTGACACTCGCCCTAATGTTGAAAACCATCACATGGATCCGATTGGACCTAGCTTGGCAGTACTGGCATCTCTCTCTACCTCTCTGTCTTCCCCATGTACACCTGACATACTTTGAAGTAAACTCTCGACCACATTGAACTTGACGTTCGCCCCGATGTTGAACACCATCACATGGATCGGACCGATTTCCCCCTCCACTGTAGCAAACAGCCGAGCCACCTGGTCTGCGGGGAGGAGAGGGCAGAGGTGTGTTCAGAAAGACAAGAATGATTTGCCCCAATGTTGAACACCATCACATGGATCGGACCAACTTCCCCCTCCACTGTAGCGAACAGTTGAGCCACCTGGTCTGTGAACAGGAATGGGTGGGAGGAGCCGGGAAAAGAGAGCAAAGACAGGAGCAATTCTAGAGATGCTTGCTCCGATGTTGAACACCATCACATGGATCGGACAGACCACAGTGGAGAGAAATGGAGATGGGAGATAGAGGAGACGAGTGGAGTAGGAGGGAGAAGAGGAGCAGATACTGGAGTGTTGTCAGAGCTGCTTGCTCCGATGTTGAACACCATCACATGGATCGGACAGACCACAGTGGAGAGAAATGGAGATGGGAGATAGAGGAGACGAGTGGAGTAGGAGGGAGAAGAGGAGCAGATACTGGAGTGTTGTCAGAGCTGCTTGCTCCGATGTTGAACACCATCACATGGATCGGACAGACCACAGTGGAGAGAAATGGAGATGGGAGATAGAGGAGACGAGTGGAGTAGGAGGGAGAAGAGGAGCAGATACTGGAGTGTTGTCAGAGCTGCTTGCTCCGATGTTGAACACCATCACATGGATCGGACAGACCACAGTGGAGAGAAATGGAGATGGGAGATAGAGGAGACGAGTGGAGTAGGAGGGAGAAGAGGAGCAGATACTGGAGTGTTGTCAGAGCTGCTTGCTCCGATGTTGAACACCATCACATGGATCGGACAGACCACAGTGGAGAGAAATGGAGATGGGAGATAGAGGAGACGAGTGGAGTAGGAGGGAGAAGAGGAGCAGATACTGGAGTGTTGTCAGAGCTGCTTGCTCCGATGATGAACACCATCACATGGATTGGACCGATTTCCCCCTCCACTGTGGAAAACAGCCAAGCCACATGGTCTGCAGGCAGGAAAGGAATGAAGAAGGAGAAGAGAACAGAGACTTGAGTCATCACTCAGCTTGTCTCTTTCCCTACTGACCTTTGTGGAGAACAGGGAGGGAGGAGCCAGGAAAGGAGGAACAGAGGCTTGAGTTTCAAGGCGCCTCAAGACCAACTTTTGAGACGTCTCAAAAGCTTGTCTCTTTCCTTACTGAGGAGGACAGGGAGGGAGGAGCCGGGAGAGGAGGAGGAACAGAGGCTATGAGATTTAAGGCGCCTCAAGACCTTTCGAGTCAACTCACTTCCCTACCCACCTATTCTACAGTCGACTAAAAAATTGGTAAGAAAGGGTGGGAAGAGCCAGGAAAGGAGGAACAGAGACTTGAGAGTCATCACTCAACTTGTCTCCTTCCCTCCTTTTGAGACTTGGGAGTCATCACTCAACTTGTCTCCTTCCCTCCTTTTGAGACTTGGGAGTCATCACTCAACTTGTCTCCTTCCCGCCATCTGCACTTATCTCCTCCACTAGCCGTTGGAGCTTCGATCCGTTTCTCCGCCTTCACTCACCTTCTCTCTACCCCCTCTACCTCACCCAACATCACTCCCCTTCTCCTTCCCTATACCACCCTTGATGACTCACCTTCTCTTCTGGAGTCCACTCCAAATGCCACTCCAAATGCCACTGCTTTCCCGCCATCTGCTGTAATCTCCTCCACTAGCCGTTGGAGCTTGAATTTGCTGCTGTCTCTCTTCACTCATATTCCTCAGCACAGGCACACACTCTCCCTCTCTTCTCTCTTCACTCACATTCCTCAGCACATGCACACACTCTCCCTCTCTTCTCTCTTCGCTCACCTTCCTTCCTTGCATCAATGCCAAAGCCAACTGCTTTCCCGCCATCTGCTGCTATTTCCTCCACTAGCCGTTGGAGCTTGGATCCGTTCCTCCGAACCACCACCGCCACATATCCTTCCCTGGCGAACCGCCGAGCCACTGCCGAGCCTATGGCGTCTCCCGCACCTATTACCAAAGCTACGGGCTCGGACGAAGAGGAGTCTAATGGCGACGATTCCCTTGAGTCTTGAGAATTGGCTGGGGAAGATTCTTTTCCTGCATCTGGTGCCGCTGAATCTGCGAAAATTCCGGGATTTCTATGTAAGGCTGCTGACAGGTGTTTCTGCTGCTGTTGACACCAATCATTCGTACTTAAACTCCCCGTTTTACTCGTGGAAGCGGCTGATTGGTCGGCGCGGGAATTCGGGAGGAGATCGGCGACAGAGGAAGAGGATGAAACTCGGATGAGCGGAGAAAGCGTGGAAACACTATCATTAGTTGAATAAAGGGTAGGAGACAATAGCGGATATTCCAGTAGACTCAATAGAGGGGATGGTGCTGATGCACCCGAGTGCAAGAAGGATGGGCCAAAGGATGCGCCAGTGTAAGATCCGATAGAAGGCAACGGGGAATTGAGACGGGGATGAACGAGTTCATCAGGCTGAGGTGCGATGTGGCGGGAAAAGACGCCAAGACGCGACAGAGACCGCGAATTGCATGCCATGACATGCGAGAGAATACTAAAGGATGACTTGTGCGAAGCCTCAAGATTTTACCTCAATGAACTGACTGCAAGCCGTTGGTTGAAAATGTGCTCATACCCCACATAAGAAGATGAGGGGTGTCAGCATTGAATGCTAGCGATTTCGAATGCACGGTAAACCATATGCGTTTTCCAGATTTTGAATATTGCCACTATCGAGGCGTCTAACAAACATGTTTGGACTTTATCTGGTCGCATTGTCACGGAATTACCTTATCCTGTCTCAAACGGAGATATTTGATCCGCGGAATGCAGCCTTGTCTTACGGGATCCACAACCAATTATGGCAGAGTAAGGCGATTTTGTGTGTTCGTTTTCCATTGCACCAGTGAAGAAGCAGTACTGCACGTGAGACATAGTGCTTCCAAATTCTGGAATGTAGGTTTTGTCATGCCATACTGTCAGCTGGTCAACATATCTTCACCTCATTGGTCAAACACGATGCAAGCGTGGAGGATATTTTGGTCGAGTGTGTGGTTGTCTGCCTGTTCGGGAGCCGCAACGATACAGAATGGAAGGAATGTGAAAAGAATATCCGAAATATCATTTGTGGTGTCTCACCCAGTGTTTGAAGCTCACTTCTGCGTCGAAGTTGTGAAAATGACTAGGATCTCAGAGCCAAAGCGGAATACCCCAGAAGCATGCAACTCTTTATATAACGAGCCGTGGTTTCTCCTTCGAAGTCACATTCACTACAATTAGTGTACATCGAAACCCTTCAGCCTAAAAAACCCGGGCCGAGACTTACATTTTGCAAGACAGGGTGAAGCTGGAATGCATACCAAATCTAGGGGGGAATGATGCTCCCCCATCCTGGATGTATCCTCCCTGATTCCTTGGAGTCAGATCTTTTCAAGGTGCCACGGTAGCGTGGCAGCCGCCGCCACCATGAACCCCCTCAAAGGGCAGGGGGAGGTATCTCTCTTGGACAGTTCAGTATCCACGAACACAAATGGGTGCCCTCTCCTCTCCCCCTTTCCCCGCAAACTACACCTGCCGCTGCTCCACTTTCCACGCACTCAGACCAATGATCGGGCCGTACTCCACCGACGTGTGATGGTATGGCTGGCTATGAAACGGGAGACTGCTGACCGTCATTTCCACGCATCCCATCTGATCCGACCTATCACCAGTCCAACCAGCCCTGCCTCTATTCGACTCGGGTTACCTGCCAGGTCATTGACTCGTACTCATGACTCGACCCATTGGTCCCGTTCCTTGCACACGTCACGTCTAATGCCGACATGCTTTGCAAGCCATACTAAAAAAAAACCGGCTGGCAGGCTGCGCGCGGAACTCCGCCTACTCTCCACCTCACCATTGACTATCTCCCTTGGGTCTGGAACACTGGATTTTGGTTGCCCCAATAATGTATTTCTACGTCAACAGTTTGATCTCTCTATGTACAGTTATCCCAACACCTCGGCCCTGGCACATCACATGCACTTTCTCGACTTCCTATGGGTAAAACGGCAGTCCTCCCTACTGACCATGTGCGTTCCCCAACGACAAGATTCGCGTCTCCCCTAGAGTTGAGATCGCCTGGCTGTGAACGCATCGGGCATGATCTCTTTGGCAACCGTCCTCACTGTCGTCAGCAAGAAGATCCTGTTCTGTACAATGTGTACAGCACCCTGCATGATTTGCGTCTGTTAGGGACTATACTGAGCTGTCATCATTTTTGCCCACCAACTGAATTGTAGTTGTGTGCTGAGCTGAACTGAACCCTGTAACCTCACATCACACTCCATGTTCCACCATTCACCCAGCCCAACCCAACCGAGTAGATCGCAAACCAGCTAAAACCATTCCACACCTGTTCAGTCCCACATCGATGGTCCACCATTATGGGCCTGACGACTCTCGCAAATTGAATCTTTCACCCTCTTGACCTGACATCCACTACCAACCGACCATGCTGCCTCAACTCAACCCACACACCGCCACACATTTCACCGTAGAGTAGAATCAGCCACCATAGATTTCCGATCAGTAGCACTGCTTGAAATTCTGAGGAGCTTGTTTGTTCTCGCGTTTGCGGCATTTTCCGGTCAGTCACCCACTCATCTGTTTGCTTGAATTCAGGTAATTTCGAGAGAAAGGCCTTTTCAGCGTTGCTGAACAGATGAGTTTCTTGCTCAGTGATTTCAACACATTGCTGACAAATATTGACGACCGTGTTCATTCTGCAAGGCGAGTGTACCGCATTGGCTGCTTAGGCTAGCTTGACACAATGGCGCTCCAACTCGCCTCCACCCAAAAGGTTTCTCCTCCTTTTTTCATACCGCGAGCCGCCAGTTGTCAAGAGTTTTTTCAAGAGGCAACAGCCCGACAAACCGTTTCACTTTGCGGCAATTCTTCTTTTTCTGAGAAAGGCAAGATGTCCGTCGCAGAAGGAACCGCCGGTGCTGCGCCGACAGTGACTTGCTTGGGGCGAATCAAGAGCCAGTTGTTGCTGGAAGCGCTTTCCTCAGTACAGATTTTGTCGTCTGGAGGAACCGCTGCGGTCTTGGCCGGATCGGCTCCAGCGGCCGTTGGATTCGGATCGATTCGCGGCCCGTCCGAAGAAAACTGCGGGGACATTGGGCGACTCGAGGAGACTGGCGGAGAATTTGGTAAAGCCATGCCAGAAACTGGCATATTCTCGAGCCGCCTTGGATCAACGCACGAAGCGGTAGGCGACATGTCAAACGCGGCGACGTCGCCTGAAGCGTCGTCATCATCGTCGCCAGCGCCTAAATCTCCCGCGCCTCCTGAGGCGGACGAGTCCGCGAGGTCTTGCCCGGGAGCGCCTATGAAGCGGAGGCTATACAACCGGTCGCGACTCGCTGCTATTTCAGATATGAAAAAGTTTCGAAGGGCGGTCCGAGAGTTAAGCTTCGGATTCTCTTTAAACGGCAATGAGGTTCCGCGGGACTCGTCCTGCGACGTCGCCTCCGTCGCGACGAACACGACGACGTCGCATGAAGGATCGCATCCGTCGCATGGAGCGTCGCATCTGTCGCAGTCTTCGCAGGCGCCCGCAGGGTGGCATTCTCCGCCCGCGTCCGGCGTTCCTCCTGTAGCGGACACGTCAGCAAAAACCTTTCCGCCTGCAGCGCCGAAAAAGCGGAGACCGGGTTACAACAGGACGGATGATCTCGCTGCTACCATGCCGAAGACCAAGAGGTGCCGAATCGTGTCGCGGAAGCTTAATTTCGACGTAGCTTCGAGCCGCGTACTGTTCACTTGAAACTCCCTTTTTCTTTATGAGTTTTGTCAGCTTAGTGTTCTTGTGTGTGTATGTGTGTGTGTGGGTTTGCGTGACTTATCCTTAGTGCTTAACTCATGAACCGTGCTGATTGTTTTTCTAACTAATCCAACTTTTTGTGCCATCAAAAGCATGTAGTGTTGACTAACCGATCAGAGTTCCAGTACTAGTAAGAACGTTTTCCTGTAACTCGAAACTAGTGCAGTAACGTCAAGGCAAATTTTCCATAATAATGACAAGAGTTCACATCACACATCAAATACTTGCACACCTACAAACAAGGCAGAAGGCATAATTTGCGATATACCAAATTGAGATCCAAATGTTGTCGCATCACACCCGCATCTTATTCAAGGTACCTCCACCCACCGGCCCTCTCATAACCCTACCCCGTACCCCCCCACCCATTCCTCCCTCCCATCCACAATTACGCGGCGCTGACCGCTATCCCCATGGACTCGGTTTTCTCGGCCACAGCTTTGGTAACTTCCTTGGATGCATCTTCGCCTTTTGCACCACTCTCTCTTCACCTTCCCTTTCCCGTCAGCCACTTCTCCCGCCCCCCCAAGTTACGCTGCGCTGACGGCAATCCCCATGGACTCGGTTTTCTCGGCCACTGCTTTGGTAACTTCCTTGGACGCGTCTTCGAGGGACCTCGCCTTTTGCACCACCTCAAACGCCTCGATGCTGTCGCCCTGCTGCCACTCGTCAAAGCCCTCCAGGCCCACCCCGCACTCCAGCCCTGCTACAACCTGCAACACGTGGTGATGGGGACGCAGAGGGAGGGGGAGAGAGAGTGAATGCCTCAATGCTGTCGCCCTGCTGCCACTCGTCACAGCCCTCCACCCCCACCCCGCACTCCAGTCCTGCCACCACCTGTTGGTTGGGAGTAGGGACAGAGGGATACAGAGGGGTGCAGAGGAAGGTAGAGAGTGAATGCCTCGATGCTGTCGCCCTGCTGCCACTCGTCAAAACCCTCCAGGCCCACCCCGCACTCCAGCCCCGCTACAACCTGCAACACGTGATGATGGGAGTGGGAATGACAAGGGAGATCAGGGTAAGGAGACGAACGGGTAACAGGAGAGCCTCGATGCTGTCGCCCTCCTGCCACTTGTCAAAGCCTTCCAGGCCCACGCCGCACTCCTACCCTGCTACTACCTGGTGGTTGGGAGTAGGGACAGAGGGATACAGAGGGATACAGGTGGAGAGTGAATGCCTCGATGCTGTCGCCCTGCTGCCACTCGTCAAAGCCCTCCAGGCCCACACCGCACTCCAGCCCTGCCACGACCTGCAACACCAAAAATCATGGGAGTGGTTGAAGGGTTTCGGGTTTGATAACAGGAGAGCCTCGATGCTGTCGCCCTGCTGCCACTCGTCAAAGCCCTCCAGACCCACCCAGCACTCCAACCCTGCTACTACCTGGTGTTTGGGAGTAGGAACAGAGGGATACAGAGGGGTGCAGAGGAAGGCGGAGAGTGAATGCCTGGATGCTGTCGCCCTGCTGCTACCCATCACAGCCCTCCACTCCCACGCCGCACTCCAGCCGTGCTACAACCCGTTGTTGACGATCAAGGCAAAAGTGCGTCGATTTGAACGACTGCCACGCCACCACCACAACACCTTTTCATGCGCTTCCATTCAATCACAGACAGCCCCACAGCTCTTTACATTCCTTACCCTTTACAACACTAGCAGGCTTCGTACTCGTTGAAAGCATACCTCCTTTTATCGAGCTCCTTGACTCGTCGCAGCGACGTGAGTGTGTATACGAGTAGACCTCCCTCTTCCCCTGAATTACCGCAACTCCACACCCCTTAACGAACTTCCCTTCCTTCCAATATTGGTCTGTACTACTTCTTACAAAGGCACAAGCTTTGTACTCGTTATAGGCGTACCTCCTTAGCGAGCTCCTTGACTCGTCGCAGAGACGTGAGTGTACCCGAGTAGACCTCCCTCTTCCCTCGAATCACCGCAATCCCACACCCCTTGACGAGCTTCCCTTCAGTCACCATCACACCGGCCACCTTGCTGCTCCCCGCACCAAACACTGCCCGCACCTCCGCCGAGCCTAGAGGCGTGCGCTCCTGGATTTCAAGGAGGGGAGTCGAGAGGAGAGGGAAGGGGGAAGAGGGAGGGAGGGGGAGGAGAGGGAAGAGGGGTGAAGGGAGTGGAGTGAGTGAGACACGAGAACGTGTGAGGTGACTCAAGGCCCGCGCCACTCCACACCCCTTGACGAGCCTCCCTTCAGTCACTATCATGCCAGCCACCTTGCTGCTCCCCGCACCAAACACCGCCCGAACCTCCGCCGAGCCTAGAGGCGTGCGCTCCTGGAATTTCAGAAGGGAGGGAAAGGGGGGGAAGAGGAGGAAGGGAAAGGTGGGGAAAGGGAGGGAAATTGGGGGAAGAGGAGGAAGGGGAGGACGGGGAGGGGACAGGGAAGGAGAGGAGGAGAGAGACAGAGCCCTTCTCCTCTGCTGCTTCAAGGGACACTCTCCTTCCGCTCGACTCCACAAGACAGGTACAGGAGGGAACGCACCTCCACGGAGTCTAGAAGCCCTTCCATTGCCTTGCGAACATCGTCAATCAAGCCATAGATGACTCGGTACGTCCGCACTTCCACATCATAGCGAGGAGCCCACACGTCAACCCTCTATCACCTCAACAGAATCAAGAAGACCTTCCATTGCCTTCCTGACGTTGTCAATCAGGTCGTAGATCACCCGGTACGTCCTCACCACACAGCACCGCTCAGCACCACTCCCGCTCTCTTCTCACCTCCACGGAGTCAAGCAGCCCCTCCATGGCCTTCCTGACATTGTCAATCAGGTCATGGATGACCCGATACGTCCGCACTTCCACAACAGCCAGCATGACAGCTCGAGCACTGCTCAGCACCACTCAGCACCACTCAGCACCACTCAGCACCACTCAGTACCACTCACTATCACTCAAGGGAACGCACCTCCACAGAGTCAAGCAGCCCCTCCATGGCCTTGCGAACATCATCGATTAAATCGTAGATGACCCGGTACGTCCGCACTTCCACGCCCTTCTCCTCTGCTGCTGCTTCCACGGCGGGCGGCATTGAAACGTTGAACGCCAGCACCACCGCTTCGCTGGCAATCGCCAGGTCAATGTCGCTCAGCGCCACGTCACCAGCAGCCTATGGAAAAGCGATTGGGGGGGTGGGAGAGGGGAGGGAGGAGGGAAGTGGGGAATCCTACCATTAAAGCCTCCCACCTTGTAGCGAGTCTCACCTTATAGTGAATCTCACTCACCTTATAGCGAATCGCACGTGCAGCATGAACGACACTGTGGTTTGGGGCAACCAACCATTGCTATAGCTACACTTTGCCTCTCTTGTGCTGAATGTCATCTCATAGCGAATCTCACCTGCAGCAGGAAGCGCAGCGACACGGTGTCTTGGGGCAGCGTTGCCAGCGCCTCTCTGATCACCTCCACCCCAAACACCTGGCAACCCACCTTTACACACCTTTACCCACCTGCACCCACCTGCACCTGAAGGTATGCCGCATGTGACTCACCTGCAGCAGGAAGCGCAGCGACACGGTGTCTTGGGGCAGCGCTGCCAGCGCCTCTCTGATCGCCTCCACAGCACCCTGCGAGAGATGAGAGGGAGAGAGAGAGGTACAAAACGGTTGAGAGGAGTGAGGATTAGGCGGAGGCAGGACCGTGCCTTGGGGCAGCGCTGCCAGCGCCTCTCTGATCGCCTCCACAGCACCCTGCAGGGGGGATGATACAGAGGGGTACGTAACGGTGGAGAGGGGTATGAAATGGTGGAGAAAGGTGCGAGTGGATGCAGTGCGGTGCAGCGCGATGAGTCAAATCAGCACTGTGCCTTGGGGCAGTACTGCCAGCGCCTCTCTGATCGCCTCCACAGCACCCTGCGAGATGAGAGAGAGAGGGGTACAAAGCGGTGGAAGGGAGTGAGGAGGATGCAAGGCAGAGACACCGTGTCTTGAGGCAGTGCTGCCAGCGCCTCTCTGATGGCCTCCACTCCACAACACCTTCCCCAGCATGAACACCGCAACACGTTGGTGTGACTCTTGTGAATTTTGTTTGAGGTTGATTTTGAGAATTCTCAAAAGTCACACCACACCAACATTGCCAGCGCCTTTCTGATCGCCTCCCTGATGGCCTCCACAACACCTTCCCCAGCATGAACACCGCAACACCTTCCACTCGCGAGCATTGAGGTGTATTTTGAGGCGCCTCAAAATACACTTTTGAAAATTCTCAAAAGTCACACCACACCAACGTTGCCAGCGCCTCTCTGATCGCCTCAGCAACACCTTCCCCAGCATGAACACCGCAACACCTTCCACTCGCCCTGCCCTGCCCTGCCCTGCCCTGACTCACCCTGTAAAACCAGACTCTAAAACCCACCTGGTTATCCACTTTGAGGATCACGTTCAGCTGGTGGAACTCCAGCCCCTCCTCATCGCTGCCTCCCCTACCCCCCATCGCTGGTGGCCCTGCTCCTTGCCCCCGTTCCCATGCATGCCCACACACCACACTAACACCCACCTGGTTATCCACTTTGAGGATCACGTTCAGCTGGTGGAACTCCAGCCCCTCCTCATCGCTCTCCCCTGAATCCCCTCCAGACGCCCCACGGCCCGCCAGGGCAGACAGAGACACCTTCGACTCGCCCTGCAGGGCCGCCAGCCTGGCGGTGCGCAGCTTCCCAGCAGCTTCCTCGGCCAGGGAGCGCGCCTGGTCAAGCGAGTCAACCACTTCGAAGTGGTCCCCTGCTACTGGCACTGAGCTGAGACCCAGGACCTGAAATGCGGGGAGATAGGGAAAGAGAGTGAGGGAGAGAGAGACAAGAAAGCTGAGGGCCTGGTCAAGCGAGTCAACCACTTCAAAGTGATCCCCTGCAACAGGCACTGAGCTGAGACCGAGAACCTGTGATGTGGGGGGGCGGCGGGGGGTGGAGTGGAGAGATATTGACAGGAGGAATGGAAAGAGGAGGGGGGAGAGGGCCTGGTCAAGCCAGTCAACCACTTCAAAGTGATCCCCTGCAACAGGCACTGAGCTGAGACCCAGGACCTGTTGTGGTGTAGGAAGGGAGGAAGGAACATAGATGTGTGTGCACATGAGGACTAAGCAAAGGGCCTGGTCAAGCCAGTCAACCACTTCAACGTGATCCCCTGCAACAGGCACTGAGCTGAGACCCAGGACCTGTTGTGGTGCAGGAAGGGAGAAAGGAACATAGATGTGTGTCCACATGAGGACTAAGCAAAGGGCCTGATCAAGCGAGTCAACCACTTCAAAGTGGTCCCCTGCCACTGGCACCGAGCTGAGACCCAGGACCTGTTGTGGTGCAGGAAGGGAGAAAGGAACATAGATGTGTGTGCACATGAGGACTAAAGCAAAGGGCCTGGTCAAGCGAGTCAACCACTTCAAAGTGGTCCCCTGCTACTGGCACCGAGCTGAGACCCAGGACCTGTTGTGGTGTAGGAAGGGAGGAAGGAACATAGATGTGTGTGCACATGAGGACTAAAGCAACGGGCCTGGTCAAGCGAGTCAACCACTTCAAAGTGGTCCCCTGCCACTGGCACTGAGCTCAGGCCGAGAACCTGAGACATGAGAATAGAGACAAATGGAGAAAGATATTTAGACATATATACATGAGGAAAAAGCTAAGGGCCTGGTCAAGCGAATCAACCACTCCAAAGCGATGCCCTGCCACTGGCACTGAGCTGAGACCAAGAACCTGAGGTACAGGCATAGAAGGAGAGGGAAAAGGAGGGACACATAGTGGGAATGAGGGGGAGGGGCAAGAGGCGCAGGATGTATGGGTGGGCCTGGTCAAGCGAGTCAACCACTTCAAAGTGGTCCCCTGCCACTGGCACGGAGCTCAGGCCGAGAACCTGAGGGGAGTGTGGGTTGGGACATGAGGAAAGAGCTAAAGGCCCGGTCAAACGAGTCAACCACTTCAAAGTGATTCCCTGCTACTGGCACTGAGCTGAGACATTCTACAAGATCCCCATATAAAGGCTTACCTCCACTGCAAGAGAAGGACCAGCAGAGTCGCTGCGACTGCCTGTGTCGTCCACTAGAGCTCGGATCTGAGAAGATGCAGATGGGAGAGGTGCAAAGCAGAAGCAGCAAAGGGAGGGGGAGGGGAGGGGGGGGGAGAGAAGAGGTGAGGGCGACAGCAACAACAGCGAGGCCCAGCAGAGTTGCTGCGGCGGCCCGTGTCGTCCACTAGAGCTCGGATCTGGAGGTGCAGATGGAGGCAGAGAGAGGGCAGGAGTGGAGTGCAGGGGAGTGGAGGGGAGTGGAGAGGGGTGGAGAGGGGTAGGTAGAGGTGAAGGCGGGTGGAAGAGAAGGCCCAGCAGAGTTGCTGCGGCTGCCTGTGTTTGCCCACTAGAGCTCGGATCTGACAGAGATAAACTCACCGCTTATGAAACCACTATACGACCCACTCACCTTGCAATATGCCTCTCAGCCACACAGCACCACGTCTCTCAGCCTGAGAGTGCCGTTCTGCACCAGCAGCGTTGCCACCGGCCCTTAATACTCCCTCTTGCACACTTCCCCATTCCATCCCACTACCCCAATCCCAGCCCTCACCTTGCCATACGTCTGTCCGCAAAGCACCACGTCTCCCAGCCTGAGAGTGCCGTTCTGCACCAGCAGCGTTGCCACCGGGCCCCTCTGCTTGTCCAGGCTCGCCTCTATCACCGTGCCTGCTGCCTGGGTGTCTGGGTTGGCCCTGAGCTCTTGAATCTGCAGCACAGGGAGAGCAGGCAGCAAACGTAGGGGTTAGAACAGCAGCATCGCCACCGGCCCCCTCTGCTTGTCGAGGCTCGCCTCTATCACTGTGCCTGCTGCCTGGGTGTCTGGGTTGGCGCGTAATTCTTGGATCTGCATGGGGGGAGGCGTGGGGGGTGGGGGGGGGGGGTAAGGGACAGAGAGGTTAAAACAGCCCAAGTGGAAGCAGCAGCATTGCCACCAGCAGCGTTGCCACCGGCCCCCTCTGCTTGTCGAGACTCGCCTCTATCACCGTGCCTGCTGCCTGGGTGTCGGGATTAGCGCGTAACTCTTGGATCTGGGGAGGGCGGGGACGAGGGGGGAGGAGGGATCAGGGGTGGGGACGAGAGGGGAGGAGGGGTGAGGGGATTGGTCATAGTGCCACCGGCCCCCTCTGCTTGTCGAGGCTCTCCTCTATCACCGTGCCTGCTGCCTGGGTGTCGGGATTAGCACGTAACTCTTGGATCTGCATGGGGGGATGAGAGGAGTGGAGAGGGCAGAGGTTGTAAGCAACAGCATTGGCACCACCAACCACCAACCACCAACCACCAACCACCAGCACCAGCAGCGTTATCACAGTGCCTGCTGCCTGGGTATCGGGATTAGTAACTCTTGAATCTGCATGAAAGCGGGTCAAAGAGGGAGTGGGAAGGAAGAGGGGTGAGGGTGGGAGGGTGGGGAAAGGGGGGTTAAAGGGAGAGGGGTCATGAGCTCCATGCCACAGGCCCCCTCTACTTGTCAACAGTCATGAGCTCAATGCCACAGGCCCCCTCTACTTGTCAACAGTCAAGACTCGCCTGCTGCCGAACCCTGACAGGCAGGCAGCAGGCGAGACAGCAGTCAAGACTTGTCAACAGTCATGAGCTCCATGCCACAGGCCCCCTCTACTTGTCAACAGTCATGAGCTCAATGCCACAGGCCCCCTCTACTTGTCAACAGTCAAGACTCGCCTGCTGCCGAACCCTGACAGGCAGGCAGCAGGCGAGACAGCAGTCAAGACTTGTCAACAGTCATGAGCTCCATGCCACAGGCCCCCTCTACTTGTCAACAGTCATGAGCTCAATGCCACAGGCCCCCTCTACTTGTCAACAGTCATGAGCTCAATGCCACAGGCCCCCTCTACTTGTCAACAGTCAAGACTCGCCTGCTGCCGAACCCTGACAGGCAGGCAGCAGGCGAGACAGCAGTCAAGACTTGTCAACAGTCATGAGCTCCATGCCACAGGCCCCCTCTACTTGTCAACAGTCATGAGCTCAATGCCACAGGCCCCCTCTACTTGTCAACAGTCAAGACTCGCCTGCTGCCGAACCCTGACAGGCAGGCAGCAGGCGAGACAGCAGTCAAGACTTGTCAACAGTCATGAGCTCCATGCCACAGGCCCCCTCTACTTGTCAACAGTCATGAGCTCAATGCCACAGGCCCCCTCTACTTGTCAACAGTCAAGACTCGCCTGCTGCCGAACCCTGACAGGCAGGCAGCAGGCGAGACAGCAGTCAAGACTTGTCAACAGTCATGAGCTCCATGCCACAGGCCCCCTCTACTTGTCAACAGTCATGAGCTCAATGCCACAGGCCCCCTCTACTTGTCAACAGTCAAGACTCGCCTGCTGCCGAACCCTGACAGGCAGGCAGCAGGCGAGACAGCAGTCAAGACTTGTCAACAGTCATGAGCTCCATGCCACAGGCCCCCTCTACTTGTCAACAGTCATGAGCTCAATGCCACAGGCCCCCTCTACTTGTCAACAGTCAAGACTCGCCTGCTGCCGAACCCTGACAGGCAGGCAGCAGGCGAGACAGCAGTCAAGACTTGTCAACAGTCATGAGCTCCATGCCACAGGCCCCCTCTACTTGTCAACAGTCATGAGCTCAATGCCACAGGCCCCCTCTACTTGTCAACAGTCAAGACTCGCCTGCTGCCGAACCCTGACAGGCAGGCAGCAGGCGAGACAGCAGTCAAGACTTGTCAACAGTCATGAGCTCCATGCCACAGGCCCCCTCTACTTGTCAACAGTCATGAGCTCAATGCCACAGGCCCCCTCTACTTGTCAACAGTCAAGACTCGCCTGCTGCCGAACCCTGACAGGCAGGCAGCAGGCGAGACAGCAGTCAAGACTTGTCAACAGTCATGAGCTCCATGCCACAGGCCCCCTCTACTTGTCAACAGTCATGAGCTCAATGCCACAGGCCCCCTCTACTTGTCAACAGTCAAGACTCGCCTGCTGCCGAACCCTGACAGGCAGGCAGCAGGCGAGACAGCAGTCAAGACTTGTCAACAGTCATGAGCTCCATGCCACAGGCCCCCTCTACTTGTCAACAGTCATGAGCTCAATGCCACAGGCCCCCTCTACTTGTCAACAGTCAAGACTCGCCTGCTGCCGAACCCTGACAGGCAGGCAGCAGGCGAGACAGCAGTCAAGACTTGTCAACAGTCATGAGCTCCATGCCACAGGCCCCCTCTACTTGTCAACAGTCATGAGCTCAATGCCACAGGCCCCCTCTACTTGTCAACAGTCAAGACTCGCCTGCTGCCGAACCCTGACAGGCAGGCAGCAGGCGAGACAGCAGTCAAGACTTGTCAACAGTCATGAGCTCCATGCCACAGGCCCCCTCTACTTGTCAACAGTCATGAGCTCAATGCCACAGGCCCCCTCTACTTGTCAACAGTCAAGACTCGCCTGCTGCCGAACCCTGACAGGCAGGCAGCAGGCGAGACAGCAGTCAAGACTTGTCAACAGTCATGAGCTCCATGCCACAGGCCCCCTCTACTTGTCAACAGTCATGAGCTCAATGCCACAGGCCCCCTCTACTTGTCAACAGTCAAGACTCGCCTGCTGCCGAACCCTGACAGGCAGGCAGCAGGCGAGACAGCAGTCAAGACTTGTCAACAGTCATGAGCTCCATGCCACAGGCCCCCTCTACTTGTCAACAGTCATGAGCTCAATGCCACAGGCCCCCTCTACTTGTCAACAGTCAAGACTCGCCTGCTGCCGAACCCTGACAGGCAGGCAGCAGGCGAGACAGCAGTCAAGACTTGTCAACAGTCATGAGCTCCATGCCACAGGCCCCCTCTACTTGTCAACAGTCATGAGCTCAATGCCACAGGCCCCCTCTACTTGTCAACAGTCAAGACTCGCCTGCTGCCGAACCCTGACAGGCAGGCAGCAGGCGAGACAGCAGTCAAGACTTGTCAACAGTCATGAGCTCCATGCCACAGGCCCCCTCTACTTGTCAACAGTCATGAGCTCAATGCCACAGGCCCCCTCTACTTGTCAACAGTCAAGACTCGCCTGCTGCCGAACCCTGACAGGCAGGCAGCAGGCGAGACAGCAGTCAAGACTTGTCAACAGTCATGAGCTCCATGCCACAGGCCCCCTCTACTTGTCAACAGTCATGAGCTCAATGCCACAGGCCCCCTCTACTTGTCAACAGTCAAGACTCGCCTGCTGCCGAACCCTGACAGGCAGGCAGCAGGCGAGACAGCAGTCAAGACTTGTCAACAGTCATGAGCTCCATGCCACAGGCCCCCTCTACTTGTCAACAGTCATGAGCTCAATGCCACAGGCCCCCTCTACTTGTCAACAGTCAAGACTCGCCTGCTGCCGAACCCTGACAGGCAGGCAGCAGGCGAGACAGCAGTCAAGACTTGTCAACAGTCATGAGCTCCATGCCACAGGCCCCCTCTACTTGTCAACAGTCATGAGCTCAATGCCACAGGCCCCCTCTACTTGTCAACAGTCAAGACTCGCCTGCTGCCGAACCCTGACAGGCAGGCAGCAGGCGAGACAGCAGTCAAGACTTGTCAACAGTCATGAGCTCCATGCCACAGGCCCCCTCTACTTGTCAACAGTCATGAGCTCAATGCCACAGGCCCCCTCTACTTGTCAACAGTCAAGACTCGCCTGCTGCCGAACCCTGACAGGCAGGCAGCAGGCGAGACAGCAGTCAAGACTTGTCAACAGTCATGAGCTCCATGCCACAGGCCCCCTCTACTTGTCAACAGTCATGAGCTCAATGCCACAGGCCCCCTCTACTTGTCAACAGTCATGAGCTCAATGCCACAGGCCCCCTCTACTTGTCAACAGTCAAGACTCGCCTGCTGCCGAACCCTGACAGGCAGGCAGCAGGCGAGACAGCAGTCAAGACTTGTCAACAGTCATGAGCTCCATGCCACAGGCCCCCTCTACTTGTCAACAGTCATGAGCTCAATGCCACAGGCCCCCTCTACTTGTCAACAGTCAAGACTCGCCTGCTGCCGAACCCTGACAGGCAGGCAGCAGGCGAGACAGCAGTCAAGACTTGTCAACAGTCATGAGCTCCATGCCACAGGCCCCCTCTACTTGTCAACAGTCATGAGCTCAATGCCACAGGCCCCCTCTACTTGTCAACAGTCAAGACTCGCCTGCTGCCGAACCCTGACAGGCAGGCAGCAGGCGAGACAGCAGTCAAGACTTGTCAACAGTCATGAGCTCCATGCCACAGGCCCCCTCTACTTGTCAACAGTCATGAGCTCAATGCCACAGGCCCCCTCTACTTGTCAACAGTCAAGACTCGCCTGCTGCCGAACCCTGACAGGCAGGCAGCAGGCGAGACAGCAGTCAAGACTTGTCAACAGTCATGAGCTCCATGCCACAGGCCCCCTCTACTTGTCAACAGTCATGAGCTCCATGCCACAGGCCCCCTCTACTTGTCAACAGTCATGAGCTCAATGCCACAGGCCCCCTCTACTTGTCAACAGTCAAGACTCGCCTGCTGCCGAACCCTGACAGGCAGGCAGCAGGCGAGACAGCAGTCAAGACTTGTCAACAGTCATGAGCTCCATGCCACAGGCCCCCTCTACTTGTCAACAGTCATGAGCTCAATGCCACAGGCCCCCTCTACTTGTCAACAGTCAAGACTCGCCTGCTGCCGAACCCTGACAGGCAGGCAGCAGGCGAGACAGCAGTCAAGACTTGTCAACAGTCATGAGCTCCATGCCACAGGCCCCCTCTACTTGTCAACAGTCATGAGCTCAATGCCACAGGCCCCCTCTACTTGTCAACAGTCAAGACTCGCCTGCTGCCGAACCCTGACAGGCAGGCAGCAGGCGAGACAGCAGTCAAGACTTGTCAACAGTCATGAGCTCCATGCCACAGGCCCCCTCTACTTGTCAACAGTCATGAGCTCAATGCCACAGGCCCCCTCTACTTGTCAACAGTCAAGACTCGCCTGCTGCCGAACCCTGACAGGCAGGCAGCAGGCGAGACAGCAGTCAAGACTTGTCAACAGTCATGAGCTCCATGCCACAGGCCCCCTCTACTTGTCAACAGTCATGAGCTCAATGCCACAGGCCCCCTCTACTTGTCAACAGTCAAGACTCGCCTGCTGCCGAACACTGACAGGCAGGCAGCAGGCGAGACAGCAGTCAAGACTTGTCAACAGTCATGAGCTCCATGCCACAGGCCCCCTCTACTTGTCAACAGTCATGAGCTCAATGCCACAGGCCCCCTCTACTTGTCAACAGTCAAGACTCGCCTGCTGCCGAACCCTGACAGGCAGGCAGCAGGCGAGACAGCAGTCAAGACTTGTCAACAGTCATGAGCTCCATGCCACAGGCCCCCTCTACTTGTCAACAGTCATGAGCTCAATGCCACAGGCCCCCTCTACTTGTCAACAGTCAAGACTCGCCTGCTGCCGAACCCTGACAGGCAGGCAGCAGGCGAGACAGCAGTCAAGACTTGTCAACAGTCATGAGCTCCATGCCACAGGCCCCCTCTACTTGTCAACAGTCATGAGCTCAATGCCACAGGCCCCCTCTACTTGTCAACAGTCAAGACTCGCCTGCTGCCGAACCCTGACAGGCAGGCAGCAGGCGAGACAGCAGTCAAGACTTGTCAACAGTCATGAGCTCCATGCCACAGGCCCCCTCTACTTGTCAACAGTCATGAGCTCAATGCCACAGGCCCCCTCTACTTGTCAACAGTCAAGACTCGCCTGCTGCCGAACCCTGACAGGCAGGCAGCAGGCGAGACAGCAGTCAAGACTTGTCAACAGTCATGAGCTCCATGCCACAGGCCCCCTCTACTTGTCAACAGTCATGAGCTCAATGCCACAGGCCCCCTCTACTTGTCAACAGTCAAGACTCGCCTGCTGCCGAACCCTGACAGGCAGGCAGCAGGCGAGACAGCAGTCAAGACTTGTCAACAGTCATGAGCTCCATGCCACAGGCCCCCTCTACTTGTCAACAGTCATGAGCTCAATGCCACAGGCCCCCTCTACTTGTCAACAGTCAAGACTCGCCTGCTGCCGAACCCTGACAGGCAGGCAGCAGGCGAGACAGCAGTCAAGACTTGTCAACAGTCATGAGCTCCATGCCACAGGCCCCCTCTACTTGTCAACAGTCATGAGCTCAATGCCACAGGCCCCCTCTACTTGTCAACAGTCAAGACTCGCCTGCTGCCGAACCCTGACAGGCAGGCAGCAGGCGAGACAGCAGTCAAGACTTGTCAACAGTCATGAGCTCCATGCCACAGGCCCCCTCTACTTGTCAACAGTCATGAGCTCAATGCCACAGGCCCCCTCTACTTGTCAACAGTCAAGACTCGCCTGCTGCCGAACCCTGACAGGCAGGCAGCAGGCGAGACAGCAGTCAAGACTTGTCAACAGTCATGAGCTCCATGCCACAGGCCCCCTCTACTTGTCAACAGTCATGAGCTCAATGCCACAGGCCCCCTCTACTTGTCAACAGTCAAGACTCGCCTGCTGCCGAACCCTGACAGGCAGGCAGCAGGCGAGACAGCAGTCAAGACTTGTCAACAGTCATGAGCTCCATGCCACAGGCCCCCTCTACTTGTCAACAGTCATGAGCTCAATGCCACAGGCCCCCTCTACTTGTCAACAGTCATGAGCTCAATGCCACAGGCCCCCTCTACTTGTCAACAGTCAAGACTCGCCTGCTGCCGAACCCTGACAGGCAGGCAGCAGGCGAGACAGCAGTCAAGACTTGTCAACAGTCATGAGCTCCATGCCACAGGCCCCCTCTACTTGTCAACAGTCATGAGCTCAATGCCACAGGCCCCCTCTACTTGTCAACAGTCAAGACTCGCCTGCTGCCGAACCCTGACAGGCAGGCAGCAGGCGAGACAGCAGTCAAGACTTGTCAACAGTCATGAGCTCCATGCCACAGGCCCCCTCTACTTGTCAACAGTCATGAGCTCAATGCCACAGGCCCCCTCTACTTGTCAACAGTCAAGACTCGCCTGCTGCCGAACCCTGACAGGCAGGCAGCAGGCGAGACAGCAGTCAAGACTTGTCAACAGTCATGAGCTCCATGCCACAGGCCCCCTCTACTTGTCAACAGTCATGAGCTCAATGCCACAGGCCCCCTCTACTTGTCAACAGTCAAGACTCGCCTGCTGCCGAACCCTGACAGGCAGGCAGCAGGCGAGACAGCAGTCAAGACTTGTCAACAGTCATGAGCTCCATGCCACAGGCCCCCTCTACTTGTCAACAGTCATGAGCTCAATGCCACAGGCCCCCTCTACTTGTCAACAGTCAAGACTCGCCTGCTGCCGAACCCTGACAGGCAGGCAGCAGGCGAGACAGCAGTCAAGACTTGTCAACAGTCATGAGCTCCATGCCACAGGCCCCCTCTACTTGTCAACAGTCATGAGCTCAATGCCACAGGCCCCCTCTACTTGTCAACAGTCATGAGCTCCATGCCACAGGCCCCCTCTACTTGTCAACAGTCATGAGCTCCATGCCACAGGCCCCCTCTACTTGTCAACAGTCATGAGCTCCATGCCACAGGCCCCCTCTGCTTGTCAACAGTCAAGACTCGCCTGCTGCCTGCCTGTCAGGTTTCGCCCTGAGCTCTTGAATATGCAGGGAGGCAAATCAAGGACGGAGGGGGGCTCTTGAATTTTAAAGCCCCCTTTCCCTTTCGACACGTTCACTTGTTTGAGACACTTTCCTTTGGATATTGTTCACGTTCCCGTCAGACGTTTTCCCTTGAAACACACACCCAATCAGTGTCGCGATCTTACCTCGGCCACGAGCATGATTGTTTCGAAAAGGCTGTCCACTCCCTTGCCTGTCTTATGTCTCTTAACACCCCGTCTTCCTTCCAACACCCTCACTTGAGCCCCCCCTCCCCCTCGATCCCTCTATCTCTCACCTCAGCCACGAGCATGATCGTCTCGAGCAGGCTGTCCACTCCTTGGCCTATCATAAGTCTCTTTAACACTCCCTCCCTCTTCCTTCCAACACCCCCAACTGGAGCCACCCCTCTCCCTCAATCCCTCTCGCTCTCACCTCAGCCACGAGCATGATCGTCTCGAGCAGGCTGTCCACTCCTTGGCCTGTCATATGCCTCTTTAACACTCCCTCCCTCTTCCTTCCAACACCCCCAACTGGAGCCACCCCTCTCCCTCAATCCCTCTCGCTCTCACCTCAGCCACGAGCATGATCGTCTCGAGCAGGCTGTCCACTCCTTGGCCTGTCTTTGCGCTGACCTGCAGTGCCGGGAACACCATTGGGAGGGCGTGAGTGAGAGGGAGAGTGGGAGGGAAAATGAGTGGCTATGTGTTTTGGAGAGAACGAGCATGCTCGTCTCGAGCAGGCTGTCCACTCCTTGGCCTGTCTTTGCGCTGACCTGCAGTGATGGGAAGACCAAGGATAAAAAAAAAAAAAAACGAGAGAAAGGAGTTGTCCTGCAGAGTTGAGTTGAAAAGCTCGCTAGTCTCCCAAAAACATTCACAATCTGCGACTTCAACCCTTGATCCTTCATCCTTCATTAGACACCTCACTCACTGACACCGTGGGTGGGCGTGTCTGAATACTTGATTAACTTCAGAATTTCCTCAGAAGTCACTGTACTCATCTGCACACATGGGCGTCTTCTCTCCCCGCTCCCCCTCCTCCTTCCCCCCCCAACACCAGACATCAGCCTGCCTGCCTTCTGCTGCCAGCTCCTTCCCCCATCCACCACACGACCTCCACCCACCCACCACTCGTTTTATACACTCTCCGTGTGCATTTCGTTAGTCACACACACAGTCACAAGTACTCACCAGCAGCATGGGCGTGTCTCGTCTCCTCCCCATTCCTCCGACATCAGCCCTCCTGCTGTGAGCTCCTGCACCCTTCTCTCGTTGTTATCACTCTCTCTGTGCAGTTCGTTACAGTCACAAGCACTCACCACCATGGGCGTGTCTCCTCCCCACTCCTCCGACATCAGCCCTCCCTCCCGCTGCCAGATCCTTCGCCGATCAGCCATGGCACTCGGTATTATCACATGTGCATGCTTGTCTCTTGCATCTCCCGATACAGTCACACACACAGTCACAAGTACTCACCGGCACCATGGGCGTGTCTCCTCCCCACTCCTCCGACATCAACCCTCCTGCCGCCAGCTCCTGCATCACCCTATCAAGGTTCGCGCCCTCCTTGTCCATCTGCACGTGGGGGGGGAGGGGGGGAACAATATACAGCGTGGAGGGAGAGTGAGAGGGGAGAGAGGGGAGAAAGAGGTCAAGGGCGTGAGCCCCACTCCTGCCGCCAGCTCCTGCATCACCCTATCAAGGTTCGCGCCCTCCTTGTCCATCTGCACAAGGGGCGAGAAGGGAGGCGAGCAATAGAGCGTGAAGGGAGATTGAGAGAGGGAGAGCAGGGAGAAAGAGGTCAAGGGCGGGCGTAAGCCCCACTCCTGCATCACCCTATCAAGGTTCGAGTGAGAGAGAACAGAAAGGATAGTGTGGGGTGAGTGGAGTGAGAGAAGAGAGGGGAAAGTGACTAAGACCGATCAGCCCCCCTGCTGCCAGCTCCTGCATCACCCTGTTGGGATTCGCCCCCTCCTTGTCCATGCTTTGAGTCCACTCAAAAGAGGACTCATGAGTCGACTCAAAAGTCATCTCCTGCAATGCAACACCCTGTCGAGATTCGCCCCCTCCTTGTCCATCAGCGCGCAGGGCGAGAAGGGAGGCGAGGGGGAAGCAATCACGTTTCCCCCTCTCGTTCTATCATGGTTAGATCAGTCACCTCGGCATACCTTGTTAATGTTGCAGGGATTTTTTGAGAATTCTAAAAAAATATCGGCGAGAAGGGAGGCGAGGAGAAGCACTCACGTTTCCCCCTCTCGTTCTATCATGGTTATATCAGTCACCTCGGCATACCTTGTTGATGGAGACGACAATGGGAAGGAACACCAGCAGCACGGGCGTGCGCGATAAACTCAGTGGTCTGAGGCCTGACGCCATCATCTGCGACCATGTTTTCATGAGTTTGTCCTCGTTATAAGCATACCTTGTTAATGGCGACCACAATAGGCACGCCAGCGGCACGAGCATGAGCGATAGCCTCAGTGGTCTGAGGTCTGACCCCATCATCTGCTGCAACCACAATCACCGCTATATCCGTCACCCCCTCTCTCTTCAGCCCCTGACCTTCCATATGCATCCTCATTATAGACATAAACATACCTTGTTAATGGCGACAACAATGGGAACACCAGCAGCGGGGGCATGAGCAATCGCCTCAGTGGTCTGCGGCCTGACACCATCATCTGCTGCCACCACAATCACCGCTATATCCGTCACCCTCGCCCCCCTATGGTATCCTTTCCTCCCCAGTGCTCGTTATAGACATACCTTGTTGACAGCAACCACGATTGGAACACCAGCAGCGCGGGCGTGCGCAATCGCTTCAGTTGTCTGCGGCCGAACACCGTCATCAGCAGCTACCACAATCACAGCAATATCCGTCACCCGCGCCCCCCGCGCCCGCATGGCACTGAACGCCTTTTGAGACGTCTCGATAGTCGCCCCCCGCGCCCGCATGGCACTGAACGCCTCGTGACCTGGCGTGAGCTACAGATTCAGTGGTCTGCGGCCTGATCCCATCTACCTGCTGCCACCACAATCACCGCACCCCTATGCTATCCTCGTTATAGACATACCTTGTTAATGGCGACGACAATAGGCACGCCAGCGGCACGAGCATGAGCGATAGCTTCAGTGGTCTGAGGCCTGACCCCATCATCTGCTGCAACCACAATCACCGCTATATCCGTCACCCGCGCCCCGCGCGCCCGCATGGCACTGAACGCCTCGTGACCTGGCGTGTCCAGGAACACGCACGTGTGCAGCCCCGCCTCGTTCTCATCCTCATCCGCCACGTCAGCATCCGAGTCAGCGCCTGAGTCAGCGTCTGAGTCAGCAGCGTAGGGCACCCACACGCGGTAGGCCCCGATTCCCTGGGTGATTCCGCCTGCCTCCCCTGCTGCCACCTTGGTCTTACGAATATAATCGAGGAGAGAGGTCTGTTGCGAGGGAGTGAGAGGGGAGAGTGGAAGGGGAGTTGGAGGAGCAAGGGAGAAGAGAAGGGCCAGAGATTGTGAAGCCACACGCGGGAGGCCCCGATTCCCTGGGTGATCCCGCCTGCCTCCCCTGCTGCCACCTTGGTCATACGAATATAATCGAGGAAGGAGGCCTGATGAGGGTGTGGGGAGGGAACGAACAGAGTGGGAGGCGCATGGGAGAAGGGTCAAAGGGTGGGTTTGGGTCAGAGAGTGCGTTGGTAGGCTCCTATCCCATGGTCCACACCACATGTCCCATTATAGTCACAACAGGGGGGTGCACACCAGGTGCTCCAGACCCTCTCGCCTCTCTTTCTATAAACTTACATACATTTCACCTCCCATGGTTACCTTTCCTCGTTTTAGTCTCACCTTCGTTAGTCTCACCTTGCCATGGTCCACGTGACCCATTATAGTCACAACGGGCGGGCGCATCACCAGGTGCTCCAGATCCTCCTCCTGCACATACTCGCGCTGCTTCCTGGCAGTACAATATTTCACCTTCCCATGGTTCAAGGTTCAAAAATACGGTTCTCGTAAAAAAACGATCCGTTTTTTACGGTCCGTTTTTTACGGTAATTTTCCAAAAAAACGGCGTTTTTCTGTTAGAGAACTGTTGTCACCAACAAAAAAAGGGAAAAACAAGGTCGAATACATTTTCAATCATGCCCACAAGCGCACGCATGCAAGGAGGGGTTCGTCCTCTTCATCCTGGTACCTTTCGCCATCAATTTGGTCCCAGAAACCGGCCGATTTTTGTTTCGTTTGAACCGTTTTGGAACCTTTTTAACCGTTTTTTACAGTCGTTTTTTACGGTAAATTTTCAAAAAAACGACGTTTTTTTAAACCTTGCCATGGTTACCTCGTTATAAGCTCACCTTGCCATGGTCCACGTGGCCCATTATAGTCACGACAGGCGGGCACACCACCAGGTGCTCCAGATCCTCGTCTCACACATATAATCTTGCACCTCCTAATATCTCACCTAATATACTCCTTTCTCGTTATAGTCTCACCTTGCCATGGTCCACGTGGCCCATTATAGTCACGACAGGTGGGCGCACCAGGTGCTCCAGATCCTCCTCCTGCACAAACATAATCTTGCACCTCTATCTAATATACATTTTTCTCGTTATAGTCTCACCTTGCCATGGTCCACGTGTCCCATTATAGTCACGACAGGCGGGCGCACCACCAGGTGCTCCAGATCCTCCTCCTGCACATACTCGCGCTGCTTCCTGGCAGCGTCCCCCATCTCTGCCTCGCTGGCATCAAGAACCTCCACCCCGTACTCGGCGCACACCATGCGCACTGTATCCTCGTCAAGAACCTGGTTTACTGTAGTCGCGATGCCCTGTAACGAAAATGTGATTATAACGGGGCGTGAGAATATCGGGAACGGGATATAAATCATCATAACCAGAGACTTTCAAGAACCTCCACCCCGTACTCGGCACAAACCATGCGCCATCAAGAACCTGATTCACTGTAGTCGCAATGCCCTGTAACGGGGATGTGATGATAACGGGGAGTGATGCTTTCAAATAAATCAACATAAGGCCACTCAAGAACCTCCACCCGTATTCAGCACACACCATGCCCACCGTATTTTCTCGTCAAGAATCTGATTGACCGTAAACAATGCCCTAATTTTAGGCAACGAGGGAAAACAGGAAGAAAGCGCAATTCCTTTCTTTTCCAGGCCTCAAATCTTACACCCAAACCCAATCCCCCATCATCCAAACCTGCACGTTCCTTTCCCACTTCACGCCATGACTCAACCCCCTCTCCCATCACTCAAACCCGTCCCCAGATCGCACCTTCATGAAGAGAGCCTTGACTAGGTCCGAATCGTTCACCGCCAGCTCCTGAGCAAGCTCCTGCACGCTCATACCCTCCTGCCCAGCCCTCCCTCCCCACACACACCACGCACCTTCATGAAGAGAGCCTTCACGACGTCGGAATCGTTCACCGCCAGCTCCCGCGCGAGCTCCTGCACGCTCATGCCCTCCTTCCCCACTTCCAGAATCTCCGCCTGTACGGGCGCAGCAGCCTTCTTAGCCTCCTCGCGCGCAGCTCTGCGCGACGCCTTGCTCTGCTTCCGGTTTCCCCGCGCCTGCTCCGCCACCGTTGAGCCTCTTCCCCCGCGCCTCCCCCGTCCGGCCCCGTCGCGGTCGCCTTCCCCGCCTCTCCTCCGCGTGTCTTTCCGCCCGCCTCTTGCCGGAGCCTTGTCCGGGCCCCCGAAAGGTCCGGGGGTAGGAGCTCCGCCGGGTGCGCTTGCGCCGGCCCTACCCTCCGCGGCAGGCTGCGCCCTGCGCCCAGCATCGCGCAGAATGGGGCCTCTGCGCGGAGCTCCTGCCGCGCCCGCGGCGGAAGCGCGCTCATCGTCGGAAGCTGAGGCGTCGGCGGAACCCTTGGGCTTCCACGCCAGCTTCTCCCTTGCGCTCGTTCCGTCTGCGCTGGCGGCGGGCGCTTGACCGCGCACGTATACGCCCGGCCGCGCCGGAGCCGGCTGCGCAGGCGGGGTGGGGCGGCTGAACGACGCCACAGGACGATCCAGCTTCGGCCTGTCTACCCTGACCGGCTTGGGCCGAGCTACCGCTGGAGGCTCGGCATCTTCGGAGTCCGCACTGGGCGGAGCCGCGCTGGCACTCGACCCAGAATCTTCAGCCGCGTTACTAGCTGCCCCGTTAGGCGTCTCCTTGCGCACGAGCACGATCTCTTCCACGTCAGAGCCCGAACCGCCCTCTTCCTCCCCCGCGCTCTCCGCTGCTCCCGCGGATGATCCATTTAGCGCGAGACCGCCGTCCGCTCCCCCCGCCATTCCGCCATTCCCCATCCGCTCCGCCTTCTCCAAAATCTCCTTTAGATTCTGCACCGCCGCCACACCCGCGCTGTCCGGACCGGGGGCACGCGCGGCGCGTTCCCTCGGCCTAAAAACACTCTTCCCAGTCGCCGCAACACCCCCGTTCGGTCGGGCCCCCGCTACTCCGGGCCTCGGGGCCCACGACCTCGCTCCGCCGCGTGCGCCGGCGGCGGGCGCGGCGGGCCTTGCGGGCGGCTGCGCTGGCGCGGGGCGCACGAGAACGGGCTTGGAGAGCTGCGGGGGCTCTGGGGAAGCGGAAGAAAGCGGGGAGGCGGAAGCATCCGCGGAAGAGTCGGAAGCATTTCCCTCGGTGGTGGTGGTGGAGTCGACAGCTGTGACAGTTACAGTTTCAGGGCTGGTCGCTGTAGTGGTAACCGCGAGATGTCTTCGCGAAGCGTATCGCCGCGACGAGGTGCTGCTGTGGCCAAGCGACGTGCCGCTTAGGAGAAGGGAAGAGCCGATATTTCCTCGCTTAAGAGAAGCGATGCCGACTTGTGAAGCGGAAGCGCTCCTCGCGCGTCGCGCGAGCTGCTGGCACGCGCAGCTGTACGCTCTGCCGTCAACAGAGGCTGACGTGGCAGAACGTGACGTGGCAGAGAATGGCGTGGCAGAGAATGACGTGGCAGAATGAGCGACTGCGTATCCGCTGAGTGTGCGGCTTATCGCTGACGCCATGCTGTTAATCTCGCGTTTCTCCCAGAAATGACAGAAATGAGAAATGCAGCAGCTATCGGCCTACACTCAGCCACCTCCAGACGAGCTTATATCGAGGATGAAGCTGTGAAATGCGAGCTGCCTCAACCAAGCACGTTCTCCGAGAGCCTAGTTCCAGACAGACCCTCGCTTGCTCGGATAAGTTAGCACTTGCATCCAGTCAAATGCCAGCAAAGGAATGAGAGGGCACGCGAAACTTGAAACTCTAGGCGGTAGGAGAGTCGGCCGTGAAAATGACCGTGATGCACTGGCGAAATCACTAGAAGCTGCTTTGACGGCTCACGCAGCACGAGCACGCGAGCAGGCAAGGCACTTCCTACGAATCCCAAGGCAGGTAGAAGGGAAACCTGGGTAGGAGAATACCAAGACTCTGCAAAAGAGAAGCTTGAAGAAGCTTGGAAGAGAGTTTGTAGGACCTTGGGGTTGACAGGAAGGTATGAGAGTGAGAGTGGGTTGACCATAGAATTTGATTACCTGAAAAAAACCTCAATCAACCACTCTTTCGGATACATAACCGTTTCTCAAACCAGTCAACCTGACTGATCGCATCATCAAGCATTGACGAAACCACTTTGAGTGGAGTGAGAGGAACTGCCTTGAAATATCGAGTCGCAAGATGAGTGACACTGCGAGCTTGGAGCGATCTTGCGACGTGAAGGGCATGGGGATACCGAGGTAGGCGACACAAAGGATAGCATCGCCATCTCAAACCTAGGGTAGCGACGCATCATGGTTTGGGGTATGCGACGACCTTGAGAAAATGGATCCCCCAGTCGCACGTGGATTTCGGGTGTTCTGGGGGGAAACGACTCGATGACGCGGCACGACACGCAAGCGAGTTTCTGCTCAATGGTCGCACGGGCCCAGCTGGCGCCGCATATGACTCTATTAAGAGAGGTCGCGAAGATTGACGTGGTCCAATGAAAGGACCCCGACAACTGAATCGCGAAGCTCGAGGTCTAACGGCCAATTGGCGGCGCTGCAGTGTCAGCTTTCTCCTCGGTCGAAGGGATTGCCCCACTCGAACTGTCATTTGGCCACGAAAAAGTGGAATGACGTGGCCACCAGAACAGGATGAGGCACAAGAGAAGCAGACCACAACCAGCATGATTCGTTACTACACATATATAGCACAGATTTGCACCACTCCTGTCGGCGAGAACACAATAGTAGTAACCATTGTATTCTACCATACAACATTTGTCATTAACACAAGAGCTCCTTTAGATTACTGTATCCTGCAGGGTGACTCACAAGAGGGAGCAATGCATCTTTTAGTAGGTAAGAGTACTCTGTACATGAAAGCAATTAGCCAAACACTACTTGCACAAGCTTCAGGTGGCACTTATTCAACAAGATTAATGCAAGCTGGTGAATCAATGCTGTCACAAGTGCAAATATTTACATAATATATCAACTAATGTTCCCTTTGCAACAAACAATTCATTTAGTAAATGAAGACAGACCTAGCAACAATATTCTTCACAGCCAAAGGCCCCCTGCAAACCAACATCAGAGCCAGCATAAAGTCAGGTTACCTCCACAAATGCCAGTGCAAGTTGCAGATACCAGAGCCATGCATACCATGTGAGGCAATTCCACAATACGAACGGACATACCATGTGTGAGAATCAAAGCTGTTGTTACGATTGTCGCCCATGACGAAGACGTGGCCAGATGGAATGTACTGCACGCATAAAAGACCGGGCACAGTGATATAAAAGAACTGGGTAAGGAAACATGCAGCAAAAGCAAGGATGATACCAGACGAAACCAAGATAGGCCCTGCCCAAATAGCAACTGTTGATGGAAATTACCTGTGTCTCCATGTTGTACGTAGGCTGCTCCAATATGTAATCCTCATCCTTCTCAACGCCATTGACAAACAGCCTTACGCCCTTCACCTCCACCAAGTCTCCTTCAGTAGCAACAATTCGCTTCACAAACACCTCTCCCTCACTGTAGCCATGCTTCTGCGAGTTATCAAAGTCACAAATGGCACACATCGATACCAGTTTCAGATACGGTGGGAACAGGGAGGACGAGCACCCACGAGACAAATGGAGAATTAGAAAAATGGACTCAGGGAGACTGGCTGTTGTACCTTCAGGGCCTTGGGGGCCTTGAAAATGACCACATCGTCGACCTCAGGCGTCCTGAAATAGTATGAAACCTGCAGATCGATGGGGGAGATCGATCAGCCAGTCTATACGTTAATCCCTGAACTCAAATTGCACAAATTCTTCCCAAGTTTCATATTTACATTTGAAGGAACCAGCATCACTTCCTGAACACGTTGGCTTACCTTTTCTGCGACGATTCGATCCCCCACGTCAAGCGTGGGGTACATGGAGAGCGACGGAATGAACCGCAGCTCGGCGACGAAGCGAAAGATCAGGGACATCGCAAACGTCGCAAACACCGCTTTGGCCTCTTCCGCCGACAACGGAAGCCACTCGGGTAGCCACATGAACTGCCGAGCGGCAACCGAATTCTTCGCCGACTCCTTCAAGCCTGCGAAGTCAAGGCTGTTGGTAACCTGGCTGTCGTAATATCGCACTTCGCTGGACAGCGAAACCGCCTCAGAAGCCCGAACAGGCCCACAGGATTCCAAAGCGGCTTTTCCGTTCAACGAAGAGCACAGAAACGCCCGAGCCTGCCAAATGTTACCCCAGAAATTGCTGCCAGAATTCCTGATTCCATTTATTCCATTGACTCCGCCTTCATTGCTGTATGATACACTTGCACTCCCTTGCGCCCCTTTTCTCATAGCCGACGCGCGGAGACCCATCGTGGCTACCTCTCCCTCCTTACGGCAGGAGAGGTGAACCCGAATAGATTTCGGCACGAAAGCTTGGAGGCACGGAGCGTTAGGAAATGCAAGTTTCCGCGACTTCGACGAATTGATACCACCAGCCAACCCCGACGACAACGAAAATCCTCCCACAGACAACCGCTGCATGCAACACGAGAGACCCGTAGAACCAGCCGCAAAACCGGCCATTGCAGCCATGGTAAGACGCCTTGCCAGCAGCTGCAACAATACGCTGCGTGCACACAGCACCAGCACCCCACAAATGACCCTTATGCCATCTTCATTTTCCCACGAGATACCATCCTCCTCATATACAAAGAGGAGGTAGAAGCTAAGCACACCAATACATATCGCCCTGAAACGGTGTAGGTAACAAGCTGTGAGAGCTTTACTCGCCAACGCTTGGGCCTGTCAGGCCCAGTGCTCGAAAAAAACGCCTTTCGCCTCTTCGCCCTTCTCCTAACGAAACGAACTAGCTCCAAGAAAATGTCGTCAGTATCCCAAAAATGAAACCCTAGCTCAGCTCACGTCCACTGCTATATCCTCAGGAATTGTTTCTGCTGATCCACCTGACGAGACATTCCCCCGCAAAGCAGCAGACGTTGGGGGGAGGTGGCGGGAAAGGGGGCTTGGTTGGGAGGAAGGATGGCGGACGAGGAGGGGAAAATAGCGGTGCGCGGAGAGTGTATCCCTATGGGCGGAAAAGTGGCGGAAAGCTAACCAGAAACGGGAAACATTACTTGCGTGGTCTCAGAATTACGTAAGTTTCCTCCTAACTGGTACGCGATTGACGGAACGAAGGTCTTCCTGACGTCTTCCTGACCCAACAAACATATTTTTATGAGCTGCTCCAACCCCGAAGCTCAAAAACAACACTGTGGCATGTGCGAGTTGGCATTCTCGTTACGTGGTGTCGCGGTTGGGGTACTGGTCGCATGTGCCGCAGATTGGCCATTGCTTATGTGCCTATACGTGTAATGACAATGACAATGACGCCATGGCCATGGCGGAGAGCTTTAACTACCCCAATGTCCATCAATTTCTTGCCTGATGCCAACATTGAAGTTACCAGACGACGCGCGGTTACAGGCTCTTTACAATGGTGCTCTTTTAGTGTTCATTACGGGAACCTAACCACCATTTGTTTGAGTTCCAGGCTGTCGTCCTTGCTTCACTATACATCCAGCAAGTTTAATTTGAACGACAACAATCAAGGTTTCAAGCCTCTCCATGGATACTATCGCGCGCCATTACTACCGTTTTCATCCAGTCGCGTCGACATCAATGACACCCCAGAAATCGACACATCATTTCCCAAGGATATCTCTCCTCGAGGGTGTGGGCCAGTCCCAATGGTTGCTCTCGTCACCTCGGGTCTGGACCTGCAGAGGTTCGCTTTTAAACACAGGAGATATAAGACACTGGAGATATTGGTGCTCATATCAGCTTGTCCTACAGCCAGTCTCAGGCTGTCAAGCTTCTCTCATCATCGCACAATGGTGAAGCCGCGTAACAACAAAGCTGGCAAGAAGACGGAGGAAGGTGACCGCGGAAAGGAGCATGCGACGAACGTAACTGACGTACCTGTGCCTGACGCTGCTGACAAGAGTCGGCCCATTTCACCAGCGACGCCTGCCGTGTTTGGTCCTTTTGAAGACCTGCTAGATCTGCAAAACAAGGCGGATAATGCTGCTGACCCTGGTGACGGTACCGCTGTTGACGAGGCTGATTCTGAAGGACAAGATCAGGGCCCGGCGAAGGAAGGTGCTGCTGATACGGACAATAAGGATGATGAAGAAGAGGACTTGTCTGATCCGGTCCCTGAGGATGAAGACGATGGGTATCTGAGCGATGACTCGGACGAGCACCTGGAACCTGCTTCGCTTTCCAGTGCTTTGGCTTTGAAGCGATTCTCACTAACCTTGCTGGTGCCGATCCTCAGGAAAGCGGAGGTTAAGCGCGCGGCTGTGACGATTGCTGCGTTGTTGGATGACTGGAAGGACCAGTTAACTCCGGATGTGCTGCAGACAACGACCTACCAGGAGCTCACGGCGACCTTTTTCTCTGGCACACGCTATGGTCGGCTGCAAGTCACGTTTAACCACGTCAGAGATGCGAACTTCGTATGGAACCAGGTCATCAAGCA